AGATATATTGCTACAATGAACCACGGATTCACAACTTACAACCCCCTCGGGCCCGCTGAGGAATTTAGATTGCCATTCTGGACAAAATCACTCTAGTAGAATATAACTAGGGATATACACGAAGAGACAATATTACTGAAACCAAACAGCAATCGGACGTTGAAAATCTGTCCGGCATCTCGGGAAGTCGAACTGTAACCAAACATCCACCATAAAACCGCGCCTTTGCCGAATCTGGACTCTACCCGGGCCGTCGTACCCTGTAGCTGATCGACATCCCAAACTCACATTACCCTGGCGTCGGGAACGAACTCCCAGATCTGCGGAAAATGACTTACAAACAAATTGTACTACGCACCATGGGTCTGCTGCGACCGAAAACCACTTCTGAGGCTCTAGACCCCACATACTACGTGCATCTTCCCCATCCCCAATACATGCAACTCCTTCTAATTATCACGCGACTACCGCTTCACCATCAAGACTGCCGTTACAGTGCTCTCGTGATCACTTGGAACGAGCTGCAACATTTCACCAGAGACTGATGGTCAGCATTGTCCAGGAGGGTTTGAAGATTGTGAGTGTCTTGCTGCTACTGAGGTGCGTGTACTGTGGATTTGTTACTGCTTCACTACATCAACATGCCTCTCTATAGACACCCAGGTTTTCTGTGAGCCCATATTGAAGTCCCTCAATCTTTCACTCGTCTCGCGGAGTGTTCGCCAGTGCGCCACTGTTGCGTCGCTCACGCTGTCAGTCCGAAGATCATAGAATTTCATGTTGGGGCATCCCAAGTCGACGAAGCTGTGAAGGTTGCAGCAGTACTGTCCTTTCTATTTCTCAGCGCAACCCACATCTGTCATTGCATTGAAAATAAATCGTTCAAGAAGCTTCAGGGAAGGATTCAAAAGCAGGAGACGGTACAAAATATGCTCAAGATATTTATTTCAGCTCGGAAGCGGAGTTGTGAGCAAGGCTGGGCGGAGGGAAAGGCTGCGGTTGAGATGATTACCATAGCATAAGTATTAACGCAAAAGCTCGTCAGCGCGAGTGTAGCATTTTCAAGCCTCCTCTTGGCGCTTGAAGACGAGGACTCCAGAGCAGGAACACAGCGAACCCGATATATTTTCCCGCCGATGCGCGCAAAGCAAGACCTCAAGTTACCACAGATCCAGCGTGCAATTTCGACCTCTTCGTATCGAGATAAGTCGCAGATGAACGGTGAAGAAGGAACTTTCGTTATTTCCACTATCGTGATAAAAGTCCATCACGCTTTTTTGAGACTGCTAGAGAATTGCGCGTCAGATTCGGGCATAAACTGAGCGACTGTCTCGTGTCTTCGAGTCCGTCTCATTGAGGAGATGGAGTCCGTGCACGAGAAAAACTTGTTCTAGTACTTTCAATGCACTGTCACGGGTCATCCATGATTACGTTCATTTTTGCGAAGGCTAGCCTTGGCTAGACAGACATAATATGGGCTGGGGGATATGATGAGACTGTCCGAGACTGATTGCATCTCGGGCGGACGTGTGGACAGCCTGATTTAGTTGTGGCTTGATTGTGATCAGGAGGTGAAACAGTTTTTTTTAGCTCGTTCACCACTCCCTCCCGCCATTTCTCATCATCATGCTGCCCCTCCATTTCTCTTTTCGCCGACAACTTAACAATAACATGTTCTCCTGGGGCATTTGAATCGTAATTTTTGATGACAGTGCCTGGTGTATCGATCGAGCGGGGATAAGGGAAGTTTTTCCTCCTTGGGAATCGTGCAATGACGGGAATGACATGTCTGTATGATTGTCTCCAAAATGTTCTGTAAAGATTTAGTGGATGAACCGTACTTCTATCTTGATGTTGTTAACGTTGCACTGGGGGTGCTTAGTGGAGATTGCATTGAGGCTCAGAAGGATTTAAAGAAAAATCGGAAGGTAGCGAGTCGACTCGCACTCGAATAGAAGACGATGCCGCACAATTTACATTGAGACTCGATTGAATAACTCTGCTAAAGCGTGAGAGAGAGGTAGATGCGAAATCGAGATGTGACTACACCGCGAAAGTATCAGGGAAATAACTTCATGTACACAGATACGGTAGAGAATTCATGATCAACGACTCGTAATTCTGAGCCAGACGAAAGCAATACAACTACACACCGATATGAATAAACACCATCCTCTGCTCGAGCGGCACTTTCGTCATCACGGCGTTTGTAGCACGGTTGAGTGCCCAGGCTGCCTTCGTACAGTCCAAGACACCGTCCTCCGAATCCTCGAACATCTTCTCATAGAAAGCTTCCACGACGTGTTTGGCGAGAGCGTCATTGACCCCCCACAGCGTGCCAACGACACTCTTGAACCCCGAAAACTGGAGTCCAGCTGCGAGGTGGATGGCTTCGTCAGGTGTCTCCTCATCGCCGACGGCGGTATGACACGCTGACAAGAATGCGAATTCAGCTTGCGGAGAATTGTTCTCCATGATGTCGAGCAGCGTAACGGGTTTGTCTCTCATGGAAAAACATGAGTTATAAGGCTGCTCAAGGTCTTGCTTGCCGTGACAAGCGAGGTGCACCCAGGTGTTGCACTGCAAAGCGTTAAGCGCACCTGCTTGTGTGGCTTCGTCTTTCGAAATATTAGTGAATTTGATGTTGGGAGGGATGAGTGTATGGACAAGCTCAAGCTCGCTGTCGACAGCCGGGAGCACGTCGCCTTGCCCTGCGCCTGGTTCACTTTGTCCGATCGCCGCGAAGGACGGAGTCACACATGTCTTCATCGCCTGCCGAGCTCTAATAAGAGCTGAAAGTGTGGGTGTATAAGAGCAGATGTAGAGATCCTCCAGGCATGGCTCGCCTCCAGAGCGATCTGCATTCGTTCGGAAGGGATTAGCTGCATGGAGAGGGATGGACGTGAAGGCTGCCGTTGGACACAGCCATATTCGAGACCGGTGCTGCAATTTTAGGTCATGCTGGAGGACGTTAACGATGGGTAGCATGATCTCGTCCCATAATATCCGCAAGCGTACTCGCAGCTTCTTCCTCGGTTCCGCTGGGTGCATACGAGCCGCGTGTCGGATTGCTGTAGCGAAGTCATCCTTGAGCTTCTCCAGATCTGTGAGCGTGATGCGCGGGAAGCGAACGTGACGGGGCTCTCCTGACGTCGGGACAACAATAGCGCTGCACGAGTATTTGCTAGCAATGAGGATGATAACCGGGCCATGGCGTGCTGCCACTTGCAAGTCTTCGTATGAAGGTGGGAGGAGGAACCGCGAGAAACCTTGAACATTGCGTATCTCACCTACTACGGCATCCCATTGTGCTGTAATTCTCCTGTACTGTGTTTCTGCTACTTCGGCTGCAGCTCTGTCCACGATGGTTGCAGAACCTTGAGCGGCGTTGGAAACACGTTTGCTCGACTCTGAAAATTCTTGCGCTAGATGCGGATGTCCCGATTCGAGGTCTTCAACTGGAGTCTTGAGTCGAGAGGCCAATGACCACTGTTGGCCACGGCCCTGCTCCACAAGTTCGACAGCGTGTCGTAGGCTGTCATAACGTATGGCACATGATGCTGCATCTACAGGTAGTGATCTAGCAAAATGGAAAGCAGCAGCAGCTTCATGCCGCGAAGTGGTTGATGATCGTGTTGCCAAATGAGCATCCATAAGCTCAAAAAACGTTGGGTAAGCCTCCAGCGCGGAACCATCACCAAGTTGCTCGGCTACAACAGTCCAGTGACATGCCTGAAGGATACGTTGTGGGAACCCTTGAGTTGGGTGTCGTGATGCGAGTCTGAAGTTCTCTACAACAAGCGACAAATCGGCGGGGTCGCGCTCCATCTCATAACGAGACCCATAGGCATCCTTCAGGTGTAAGTAGCTGAAAAAACGGTCCGGGTGCAGTGAAGGTAAAGCCTCCAACGATTCTTGGCAGAGACGAATGGCCTCCTCGACGTTTTCATTCTTCCCGGTTCGCAAGAAACGAGAGCAGAGCACCGAGCTCAAATTGAACAGATTTATATGGGACTCTGAACCATCAAGCCGTGTTAATCGAAGGGATTCACGATATAGATCAATGGCCTCGTTGAGATCTTCGATGACAGGTAATGTATCATATCTTGTTGTGAGCACGTTGGCAAGGTTGTTAAGGATGGTGTCGTGATATGGATGCCCAGGTGGGCACAACGTTAGTGCCTCGCGATAGAGGCTGGCCGCTCGGTTGATGTCAACAACATCACTGCGTTCATTAAAACGGATGCAGAGGGCGCCCCCTAGGTTGGCCAATGAGAAAAAACGAGATTCATCCCCAACAGGGCGCAGCCACAGCGCTTCTTCGTGCACGGAGATGACCTCGTTGAGGTCATGAGATTTGCCTTGGTGATCAAAGCGGGATTTGAGTGAGAAGGCCAAGTTATTCAGAAAGGTACCACGGTCAGAATGTCCCTTGGGGCACAGAGAAACAGTTTCACGAAGAAGTTGTATGTGCTCATCTACATCATCAATGCTGCCCCATTTTGTAAACCGTGCTTTAAGTGACTGTGAAAGCGCGGCGACTACCTCTCTACGGTATTGATGACTCAGAGGACAGAGCTCGAGCAAGACTCGTCGAAGGTGGGTGCTTTCATCTGATGGATCAATCGGAAGATTGTTGCACCGCGAGATCACATAATCGACCGCGCTGTCTACGCCGATGCTACGAAGGTAGGTACCCTCTGGACAGAGGGGCAGCAGCTTGCAGCACAGTTGAACAGATTCGTGAATGTAGGTGATAGTGGACTCCCTGGCGTAGTGCCAGTTCAATGCATAAATGAGATGATAGAGAGATAATGTGTGATCTGGGTGACCTTGCGGACGTAATGCAAGGGCTTTGCGGAAGAGGAAAGTGGTGGTATCAATGTCTTGAAAATCATTTCGAATATAACCTCGAAGGCAGGCCCATGCGAGGTTGGTGAGAGTCGCTGCATAATTAGGATGGTCTACCGGACAGCGGTCCAGAACCAACTGAAAATGCCGCACAGCATCGTTCAGGTGAGATACCCTCCTCCATCTGCGTAACATGTATTTGGCGAGTCGTGCGTGGCCTGCATCTGTGTCTCGAGCAATTTTGCAGTCGATAATACACTACAGTTGGTGTTCGGTCAGAAAAAGCCAACAATAGAGGCCAGTATAACTCACATCAAAAAGTGCACCATCCTGATTGCCGCAATAATCTACAAGAGTGGATTTCAGTGCGAGGGAAGGGCGGACACCACGAACAGGTGGGAAGGACAGTTCTATGGGATATGAGTAGATGTGCATGAATGAGAAGTAGGTTACGTACCGAATAGCTCGTCTTCATGATTGAGTAGGTCACGCCATGATGTTTGAAGTTTTCCAATGATTTCGCCATTGCCCAGCATGTGGTCGAGCTCAAAGGTCGCCCTAATCTCCACTGACAATTTCGGTGACACATCTAAAGAACTACAAGCAGATGATGAGTTCTCAAATCGCATCCGAACATTTTCATGAACTTTACAGGGTCACGGTATCTCCCCACACTACAGAATCGTCTGATGATAAGAGACTGCTGGCTGATTTCCATCGTCTCTTCGAGTCGACATTGATGGATATGTAAATGCCAGCGGGAAAGCGGGATGAAGGAACTTGAAGGTTTTTTGCGCTGATGACTGTAGATGAAGCGTGAGGATCACAAGACAGATGCGAAAGTGATACAGAGTGACCCACCTTCGAGTCTGATATATTGGCTTGCAATGCTAGTAGGCGTGATGATGCGACGAAACAAACGGCGAACAATACGGTGCCTCGGAGATTGAGTGGGGTACATAGCGAGTGGTAGGACAAGACGAGTTGGACCGTGGATGGAGTTCGGCTGGGGAGAAGAAGGTTCAGGGTTCAGGTGATCAGGCTGCGCGTGTATTTATGATGTTATTGAGGGCTGTTCGGCACGATAGATGCTGGTACGATTAGGCTGAGCGCTGAGACCAAAAGATGGCCGACTAGGGTTAGCGGGAGAACCTGTGCTGGAGAATTGGGTAATGCCAAGGTCAGACACATCAGAGATAGTGGCATGCCAAAGCTATGTGAGACTCTAAGCGTCCTGCAATGTTTGCTACTCCTGTACTGAATCACTGGTACGACTCATGTAGCACACTAAGGCAAAATGTAGCATCGAGTTGATTTCTGCACACAGAAAAGCCGAGTGATCATACCCAGTGAGAATCGGACCTACTGGAATCAACCGAGGTGTACTGAAAAGGCGTTGCTAGATTTCCATAGTTGTTGGTAGCCAAATGAGACACACAGTACATTTTTTTACTACCTTAATCTACTAGGATGATCTGAGTTCGCGCTACTTTGCTGTACCTAGATTTCAGTAGATGAACTAATCATTCTCCTCTTGCTGACCAGATATACTGAAAACTATGCATTTCGACGAGAGCAGGTACATGCGAAAACAATGCGATACGGATCCGAAAGAAACACGCTTCCCCTCCTGCTACCTGGCTGCACTCCTACTACACCAGCTAGTAGACACACCCACCCGACAACTTCGCGATGTTCGTAGCATTGCAATGCGTCCACATCCCATCTGCAATCTACCAGAGGAGCGAGTTAGCATATAGAGTGTAAGATAATCTAGTACTCACCAATTGTGCGCACTCTGCACTATATTTCTGACAGTATTTGTTAGCGTCAAGTCAGTAATGTTTTTGAAAACATACCGATATCTGTTCGGCACTCAAGCAGTCCCAGTACGTCTTGAATTCTGCAGAAGAGCCTGACGGATTTGTTTGCTTCAACCACCGATGCGCACAAAGGTTCCTGTCGAGCTGGTTAGAAATGTTCGAGTCGAGTCGGAATAAACGCTAGAGCTAGGACATACCTGCCGTTCTTCGTGTTACCTGGCCGCATCTTCTTTGCAATCATGGGTCCTGATGGTGCCACAGGCTTCGGCTCACTGGAGCCCGAGTTTGATGCAGGTATGGCAGGGGGGATGGTAGTAGGAGGATCTGAGACAGCCGTAGTAGAAACTGCCAGAGTCGTCATCGGAGTCGCGTTACTATTCATGAATGCTGCACTATACAAAACAATCATCAGACACGTAAACCCAGTAGTAAAAAAGCATACAGAGGATTCTTAATAATAATCCTCGCTGTGCGCTTTGCATCGGGAATGGCATTGGGAATGGTAGAGTCGGAAATGGTAGAGTCGGAAATGGTAGAGTCGGGAACGGTACCCGGTGCGGTAGACATGCATGCTGCAGGAGAGTCATTGTCGGATGTGTTCGTGAATATGAGAGTAGCTTTATTGGATGAGTTTGCGACTGTGGGAATGCCATCGTTGGATGCGTTTGTAAGTATAGAAATGTCCTTGGATACGTTCATGCTAATAGAAGTGTTGGAGCTGGAAGTGTTTGTGGTAGTGGATACGTTCATGCTAATGGAAGTGTTGGAGCTGGAAGTGTTCGTGGTAGTGGATGGGTCTGTGTCCGATGTGCTTGTGCTTGCAGGATATTCAGAGGGCGTGGATGCAGTGGTATCATGGGGGGATGAAGTTGATGTCTCGTAGTCTATCAAGTTGCCACTGATAGTGGGCGACAATATAATGCTGCCGTCGGAGTCCTCGGAGTCGCCAACCCTGAGCCTCTTCATGGCACGTTCAGAGTCGTCATCGGAGATTTTCACTTTCAACGACTTGCGTTTCTTGCGCGACAAATTGTCCAATTTAGCCTCCGATTGAATCCCCTCAGAGTCAGTCAAGTATGACTGCTTCCAAGACGAATAACGTGCCGTAGCCAATGCGTTAATCTTCCAATAGTGTTCGCAGAATCCCACCTCGGGATGTGCCTTCACCATCTCTGCAATGAACTCATTCTTAACAGCAGAGCTCGCACCCCCCCAAGTGACAGGTGCAATGTGACGCGACTTGAAGCCATGCCAGATTGCCCGCATTGCCTGCCCAATGGCAGCAACATGATCTTCTGATAGTGGATGACCGTCCTTATCTTCGAGGAATGGAAATGCACCGCGGTCTGTAGACTGCGCATTCGCACTCTTGTCGTAGACCTTGAAGCTCTTGTGCGTCCAAAACCTGACATTGGGGTAGTCCGATTTATTGAGCTGAGGAGGGAGCGTTAATGTCATAGGCTGCAGAATGACAGGATGCTCGGTAGTGGTGCCAGGCTCTGATGGAGTTCCGACTTGAATCAGCCGAAGTGAGGCTACAAGTTTGTCATATGCATCTCTGAAAATTGTACATATTTGAGTAATTCACGGCGATGATAACCAAACTCACTGGTATGAATCTCGAGAGGCCAGCAGAACTGCATTCTCTGCACGAAGCGTTACAATAGTTTCCTGTAAGGCTTGCATTTGCTGCATATATGCGTCATATTTCATGTCAATTGAGCACTAATTCCATCATATACACATACCTTTGACAATAAGACACCTTGAGACCAGTTGGAGTGAGAATCACGACTCTCCTGAGAATGACGATGGAAATTATTTGGATCGGGTACCAGTGGCAGAGAACAATGATCATTAAGAAGAGGTGATGTGGACGCAGTATAAGTATTATCATAAGCATTAGAAGGGAGGAATGAGCGTAGGGGGGGGAAATTATACTCAGTCATTGTGGTGGTCATCGTGAGCAGTAGTGAGTAGACCTTCCACCAGATGCTCGAGTATTTCAGTCTCCGCTGGAAACTTCCGAATGGGAAGATTTCGTTCTAAGTCCTTTGAAAACATATGAATGGGAGCATACTAAGATGAGAATGAAGATGGTGAGATGACGGGAGGATGAGCGGGAGGATGAACATACTAGTACGGGACTTACATCAATCAATGTCACCGTTGTCGTCTTGTAATCCGCAGCGTGCAATGTCTAAACCTGTCTTCTCCACAAGGAAGAACCGCTCTTCTACTTGTCCGTTTGGAAGGGTGGGCTTGTGAGGTATCATACCAACAACTGACTGAATGGTGTTGACATCTATAACACGAAGACTTTCTTCACCTTCGTGAATGCAGGAAATGAGAGCGCCATAGGATAGAGCCAACAATTCTGGTTGGGGAAGTGAGTATAGCGTGATCAGGGCGACATTCACAAAGTGCCAGTTATTTTCATCTTCCTCGTTGTCGGAGTTGTGATCGTCGTTTTCCATGGCGAGTTGCGCAAAGTATAGTACTTCTGCAAAACGCTCTTGGCCGTGTAGGAGTACCTGACATTTATTGCGGTCAAAATCATACAAATGAGAAGAAAAAAATCAAACTTTGATGTTTCGAGCCATGCGAACATCTTCGGGTGACTTCTGGGTCTCTGTCCATGCAGACCTGGCAATCTGTCCATTAGGCAAGCGAAGGCGAGCCCAGCGGCGAAACTTGGGGGAGGGTCGACCTAGAAAGTCTGCGATAACGGCTGATTGAAGGCCATTGACAACAACGGGCTTTTTGTCGCTTTTGGTGAGAAGGATGTAACCATTCCCGAGATCTCGTGAGCCACGGGGGTGGAGGTTTTCAGCATGGTCGAACTGGGGAAGCATGGCTTTGAGCGCGTTTATTTGACAGCGGCGAATTCCTTGTTGTGCGAGGTTTGAGAATGGGTCCGATGGCTGCCTGATTTCTTGTCCGAGATTCCCTATTGTCCGTTCCATTGTCCACTGAGATGAACATATTGGTGAGCCAACTCGCGTGCACTCAAGCGCGACGTGATTAGAGAGGTGAGCACATGGGCGGATCATGTGAATCCGGTCGAAACGACGCTGGTAGTACAGGAGCTCAAACTCGTGTTCCCAATCTGCGAATAGTTGGCAAGCTTTGGCGATTTGTGCGGGAGTGATTCTATATTGACTCATGATGCGGAGAGCGGTCACAAACTTGCAGAAGTTTCGCCAGACGTTGTCAGGGAGAATTCCATAGAGAAGGGCTGGGCAGAGATAATACAGCCACGTTATATATTCAACTGCCTTGTAAAATGAGTTCATCTTGAGGTTTGGGTCACGAGGGGCAACATCGAAAGATCCCGGCAAGTAAGATTTGCAGGCAGCGACCGCACGACCATGTTCTTCCCAAGTATCTCCTAAAAGAACAACCCAGGGCCAGTTTTCACGAGTGTCGGTGCCACTGCAATCCATCGTGCCGCGCCAGAGATCGGTGTATAACGAAGCCATATTGGCTCCAGCATAGTGCATGATTTCAGATGAAAAACACTCGGGGACTCCAAGTACGTGCTGGGGCTGTAAGCCAAGGAGAATGCTGGGGCCAACAATGCCTGTCTCGAGGCGTCGTTTTTCGAATTGAGTTTGATTCGGAGACGCCATGAGATGTTTCAGTTGACGGACATAGCCTTCAGAGGTCCCGAGCGGCAGGTCGTAGACATTGACGTCGTCGTGGTCACACCCCACTACACTATAGTTGTGTGGCTTCAGAAGCACAGGATAATATTGTGAGGCGCCTGGTTTGCGACGACCTTTGATCGGACAGTGCATACGACAACCGACCTTGCCGGAGTGACCCACAAGATTGCTCATGCATATGAGACCGGGACCATCAGCACATGCAAGGAAGAGAAAGAGCCGTGAAATGAATGTACGATCCCTGGATGCGTCCCAAATCGTGAGACCTTCACGCTGAAGAGCGGAGAGATGGTGAAAGCCAGGAAACAGGAACGATTCGATAAACTTCGGTTTATTGGGTCCCGGAATGATAGCGCCAGGTAGGACATTCTTCTTCTTGTAGCGCTGGTCAGGGGAATGCTCGATAACGATCCAGATATAAATCCAGCAGTCCGAGGATTTGCTTTCGTACAGCTGTGCACCATCAATAGATATGATGAGTAACATATCTTCGGTTTTGATACGGCCATCCCGAACGGCATTGAGATATGCGCTACCTGTAAGGATGTCGTCATAAGCGTCTACCAGACCATCGTTTCGTTCGAGTTCATCGAAGATCTCTTGTGTGCGTCGCTCACGATAGTGCATCTTCTCGGCACTCTCAGGATTGCGCCAAAGAGCTTGTAATTGAGGACCTATTGGAATAGTATGAAAAACAGCCCGTGGATTCTTGATGCGACCGTTGGACTTCGTGAATTTGATCTGGTCGAAACGATGCTGACCACATTCCGGACACATATCATAGTCTGCGTAAGGCCCAACGAAGGCAGCGCACGAGTTGATACACATGTGGTCGACGAGAGACTCCACTCCACTAAGGTCGGCGAGGATTGTCTTGACACGGTGAAAGGGCGGAACATCAGAGTCAGGATAACACTCGATTACAGCCTCACGAATCTGCGCATAGGTATCTTGAGATGAATGTTCGAGTGCCATGAACATTCTGAGAGCGAGAATGGTAGATGGATCGTCGATACGGAGCGATTGTCGTGGTGGATTGCGGAGTCGTTCGAGTTTCTCGCCTTTGAGTCCTGTACCATCGTCGAGTGTAGCGTTTCGGAGAGCCTGAATAAAAGAGATGTCACGCTTGAGATTGTCAAGCCGAGCAGATGCTGCAAGTGCATCTAAGTCAAGGTCCGCAAGAGGGGATCGCCCGGGGTGTTCCTGTGGTTGGTCCCCATGAGGTGGAGGCTCTTGTCGCAGCGGCGGGGCCTCCTGAGGTGGAGCCTCCTGCGGTGGGGGATTGTTGTGAGGTAGGGGATTGTCTTGAAGTAGGGGATTGTCTTGAGGTAGGGGATTGTCTTGAGGTAGGGGTAGGGGATTGTCTTGAGGTAGGGGATTGTCTTGAGGTAGGGGATCGTCTTGAGGTAGGGGATCGTCTTGAGGTAGGGGATTGTTGTGAGGTCGGGGATCGTCGTGAGGTAGGGGATTGTCGTGAGGTGGGGGATCGTGCAGGGGATTGTCTTGAGGTAGGGGATTGTCGTGAGGTGGGGGATCGTGCAGGGGAGAGCTGGGATGCTCATATGTCTACCACCAGATAGTGACAATAGATTTTACTAAGTCAGTGAAGGAAAAAATTAGTATTTACATACCTGAGTATGCTGGCATTTTGATGGTGAAGCACATTCAGCACTGTCTAGCTCATTACTAGGCCGTTTGGAAGTGCCAGGCATATCATACTGCCCACTAGTAGATACAGTAACCTGAAAATTATCAGAGAGTCCTGCATTGGCAGCTCGAATGGCTATCCTCTCAGTGTCACTGGCAGCTTCGCGAAGGTGTCGGTACCATGTAGGCCGCGAACGGAGAGCGGTTTTTGTGCTGGCGCAGTACTTGCTACATATGCACCACCAGGTAGTTTGATCTGGCATTGGCTGATTGCACACGCGAGGGAGAGAATTGCAAGGACATCAAACTCGCAAGCTCGCAAGGACATGAAAAGTGCGAAGATCTCATATTGTATTGCAGTGGTTTGGACATTCAATGTGTTGGAAAGTGCAAGGTTGCGTGTAAGCTAATGTAACGTGTACTGAAACTAAGATCTCGGTATATTTGGGTCTACGACAAAAATAGAAATAGTATTTTGGTTGTTTGTGGTACATCCCAGTAGGTCCTATTTTCACTGGGGATCATACGCGAGTATGATTGAGCTGACAGTGCGATGAGGATTCAGGAAACGATGATTGAGAGTGTTATGGAAACACCAGGGACACTGGCAGTTAAGCTAAATGCGGCAGACGATATAACGAGTGACGTTGAAGAGCGTAACTGCGAGCTGGAACTACAGTCAGAAGCAACAGTAGATCAGTCTTTACAATACCTGGGAGTATGTCTTTCGTTGAACGAGCCGGCCTGAGCAGTAATACCCGCCTGAGCAATTGTCGCCCAGTCCATTTTTTGGTTCGAACTTTTCGTCTGCCGCTTTGGCACGGGTGTCCCGTTTCATCATTAACATGCGACAAGCTCCTTCTCCACGTTCTCAGGTAGTACTGGGAACATGTTTTGGCGACCCCACACGCAGAAAAGAGTATCGATGGTACAAAGTGGATAGTTTGGGCCTTCATCGGAGGGTTAGTTCAAATGGATGTCGAAGCACCCCTGGATTGGCCTGCAGAGGGATGGTTAGCATGAGATGATTGTTTCTGACTCGAACGTTGTCCCACGTATCACACATGGTTTGTATTTACATATATATCTCATTCTCTGCAGTGAAGACACACCTCCTTATGCGCGATTCAGAAAACGATTCTGTCAACGTCGAAAGTAGGTATTGTTAAGTACTGTGAAAATTGAAGCATGTCCGCTTTGAACATTCGTGAAGCGAGCATACCACTGCTCGAGCGCTTACAATGGAAGCTTGATATTTATCTTGACGTGAAACAGATCAACTTGAAATCATCCCAGGAGACAAAACCGAATCATCGACCGATGCCAGCATTAAGTATAATCCAATATTGTAGTCTATCTGCGCATCGTGATGGTGCAAGCAACCCCGTAAATACTAAAGTGGAAAAACGAAATAAAGACGGACGTAGCAAGGCGAACGTGCAGGCCGTGAAATAGCGACTGATGGTCACAACATCCCAGAACCAGAGTAAGTCGATAGGCAAGAGGCGGCGCACGGATCGTCGTCATACTGAATTTTCATCTCGGATAAACTGCCATTCCAGACCAAGTGCAGGCACCGTAACAAGTTCTACTGGTGTGTGAGCACTGTCGGCATCACCATCTGTCTTGGCACCAGGCGGAGGGGGAGGTGGGGGAAGCTGATGATAAAAACGCAATGCTGTATCTGGTCCAAACGATGATGCGTCGAACCCTGCGGATTGTCCTCCCGTTAACAATATCATGGCTCGTCCGAGTCTACCGTTATCGATCAACATGGAAGGAAGACACACCATCTTGTGGACGACCGGAGGGAGCGTGTCCTTACCTCCCAGGGCTACCTGGGCCATTTGCATTTGCACCGACGGGGTTTTGGGAGATGTGGGAAGGTGGGAAGAGAGTACGTGCCGAACCAAAGTTGTGCGTTTCACTGCGGCTGATGTCGATTGGTTGGACTTGTTGTAATGAGAAATAGGCGAGGAAGATGGAGGTGGGCGTCGAGCGTCCTGGTTGGTGTCCATTTGGGCGTGCTGATGTTGTTCACAGTTAGTATGACGAAGAGAAACAAAGGAGAGACTTACCTCGTCCTCTTCGTCCTCATATGTATCTTGTTGGTTGTCTCCATTGTATTCATTGGGCTCATTGGAACTTGAGCAGAAATCCCACACAACGCGTGGATGCACGGGATTGAGATATTTGCGCCGTGTGCTTGGTTGAGGAATAGGCTCGTCGAGGGTGTCTGAGTCTGCGCCACTTCAATATTCATGCATTCTTCGTGTTCGTTCCCTGCACTTCCTTCATTGTCGTCATTGAATCTGCCTCGTTATCAGTTCCTTGCCCTCCTCCAGACAGTTGCCTCACCTACGATCACCTCCTCAGCCTCTTTCTCTCCCTCTTCTTCCTCGTGCACCATGACGGCGCGATGTACACCACGAATCAGTACGGCAGTGTAAGGAGGGTCGAGTTCGTGTGTTCGACGTCTTGTACAGATTAGCACTTGGTCTTGGCCTTTGGAGGTGGGGTGGGTGAAGGAGTGGTTGAGGCATCGACACGTGCTACGACAACGCGTGTAATCCTGAGTATGATTACAAAAGTATGACAGTAAGCAAACTACAAGTGCGGCACCAAACTAATCCACGACACCGTCGTGTATGCGTCAACGGGAAGATGACGTAATGTCGTGAACATAAGTACCAAGAGCATAGCACGAGATACAATGTACAACAGGGGAAATATAATCATAACAACAATTATTATACCAGCAATGACAACATTACCTCTGACGCTACCGATTGCAGGCGAAAGAAATTCAAGGGAGGGTGTGCAAGTTATAGCGACGGCACTGATGCGCCACAGGACCTGTTCCTTATGTGTAGGAAAGGCAAAAAACCAAGCCATACAATGGATGCCGCCAAAGATCGTCGCAATCAGGAGTACGGCAATCAGTGTTATCCACTTGTCCGAGTCTTCTAGCTGGATGCTGCCATCAAATGTAGGAACTCGGAGCTTGTGCGTGGGAACATCTAAGATCATGAGTTCCAAAAATGGACCGAAGCCTGCCCTAATGGGCGCCTCAGTCACAATGCCTTCATCACCGGCTTCAGAGACACTGAGGTAGACAATAAATAACGGCATAATCAATCTAGACGCAGACATACACATCAACGTGACACTCTGGCTTTGACTCGGTCGGCTTGCGGTACACAGGATATGGACACTGAACATCGAGAGGCTTATTCCACCATAGCGCACAGGTCAGGAAATTGAGAACCGCAAAAGCAAGCGTCCCTATTTCCAGGTGGGTGGTCTCAAGGCGATACATGGCGCGGGTGATGAGCTGCAGGATGAACCAGGCCACCTGAAGGATGATCAATCCTTTCGATATCACATTGCCTTTGCTCTTGTCGCCGATCTGCTTTGCCGTTAGGGTAGGGGCATCAATGCACCCTTCACCAATCAGTATGAGAACCTCGTGAGGCAGTAGTGTGTGGTAGGGTTCCCCGTCTACATAAAGCATGAAACCGCCCATCAGCACGAAGAAGCTGTGCGTCTGAGTCCACGTGTAATCTAAGGTCTATATCAGTCAAACGTTTGGGAGAGCACAAATCGGGCGTACCTTCGGATTCATCTGATATGCAAGCCTCTAACAACTTTTTGAATGGCTTCGCAAGAACACGAGTTACCCCATATCTTGAAGTGGACACTGGAGTACTATGAACTACCGAAGAAACACCAGTACAGATGGTTCACCTTCAGCAGGCGCTACGAGAGGCCGGGCTCTATTATCATCTTGAGAAGCAGGCGAGCCATGAGGATGCATATTCAGGATGAAAGATAGAATGTCGAGCTCACTTTCAAGTTGCTCCGCAGGCATTTCAGCCAACTCTTGATCTGAGGACGTTCATGGTGAGTTGTCCAAAGAACATCTGATCTCAGAAAGCACGACTCACTTTCAGACTGCTTCTGCGGCTGAGCAGCATTGAAATACCCTGATTCCTTGAAGTCTTTTGTAACATTGCGAGCGCTGATCCACTGGCGCATGGCCCATAGGACGATCAGCTCAGGAGCAATTAGTGCCGTTATCATGATGCCAAGTCGCCGCCATAGGATACGAAATCGGTTGTCCTTAGGACTCGGAATATTTGGATGGACAGCGCTATATGTACAAGCTAAAAGAGTAAGAACGGAGCTCGAGATGATGTTCCACAGGGTTCTATTCGTGAATGACGGTGCTTCAAAATACTCGCTGGTAGTAGTTGCATTGGTAGTAGGTGCGGCTTGGATTACTCCAGCGAGGTAGAGGATCATGTAGAGAAGTAAGCACATTGTTGAATGTCACTTTGGGGTGGAGGTATTGCGGTTTGTATATTCTGCTCGCTGTATTTTATCTGCTGGCGGGAGTCAATGAGGCCATGACAGCAAGCTTGCCTGGTGTTTGCAGCATGACAAGCGCAAGGGAAGTATCGTACATCAGTAACATTGCAATTTGCTGTGCGACTGAAAGACACACACGACACAGTCAAATCAACACGATCGACGATCGACTCACCGCCTATGCCACTGCATGCAGTCTCTACACGTTCCCGACCCATCTTCGAGTGGCACAGTTGTAGTGGAGCATCAAGAGTCATCTCTTCCTGATCTTCTGATGTACCATACACGCCGACGCCGACGACCTCGCAGCTCGTAGGAAGCTGTAGACATTACGTGACTTGTGCGAGGGCAAGTAGCATGTTGCCCGGTCATCAAGGAAGAGGAGCAGCACTATATACCAACGATCGACACACGATCAGAGAGCAGTAGGAATGTAAACCCACATTGAGCATGAATATAGCGCCGCACTGTTCGTGAGGTGTCTTTCTCATCAGCGTTTGCATTGTGCCGAGAGCTTGATCACAACTTGAATCACAGCGGATCTGAAGGTCATTTCATTCCCGTCGACAGGCAAATGTGTCTAGAATGATCTCGTCGTACTATGACACGAGACACCCTATACAGATAGCTAAGCGCCAAAGTATCTCCGTGCTACGCCAGGGTTCAGTTCCTGTTCAAAAATGTATCAAGAACATGCTTGAGCTGACCGCCGCAACACATACCTGTGATGGAAGCAGAAGACACGTGTAATGAAGCGCCCAGAATCGCTCTGGGATAGGCGAAGCATGGTCTCCTCGTTGCTGGCAAGAATGTTCTTGATCTTGCATGAATAAATGCTCTAACGCCTTCATAATACCCTGCGTCCTGCATCACCTACGAAGTGCTTAATATGAACTTTGTGAGTAATGCAGAATGCCAGGTATGGTGGCTAGTCAGAGGACGCGTCATTGGGAGATGGAGCACCGGGAACATTACGGCACTGCGTAAGGAAAGAGAAGCGAAGGAAGGGAAACGATGAAGAGGCCATGTGGATGTGACGAGCGTCGAGCTCCTCATACGCCCGCATATATCACGGTGTTCATTGTGCATGTACCCTGTATCAGTTCGTAAAAAGCTCAGATCAATCCCGAACGCCAGCAGTACACTCCGATATCATCCGCATTACTCTCCAGCTCAAGAATAAATAAAAAAACATGAACTCACTATCTTCTCCTTCTGAATCTCACTCACTCGAGTCCTCCCAAAACACTGCCACTACTTTCTCCTCCGCAGCCGTCGATGGTGAAGCGTGCTTTGCAAACGAAGGCGAGGGAAGCAGACAGTTGAGGTATCAGTGCAGGTAAGTGGTATTGCTGCTCCATGTGAAGCTAGGGATGCGACACGATGTACGACTTGCAATGTGAATGTAAAAGACTGGCGCATTAATGATTGTGTGAACAATACAGTCGTGGCGCCACGTGACAAGCCTCGAGCTCAGCAGTTGTTTCACCGACTTGAAGAACTTACTAGCCTAGTCAAGAACCCAATTGAAGTTCTGGACGACAACTACAGCCAGATAATATTCCCTTTGTTCGCTTTTTAATCTCGTGCTGTTTGTAATTGCAAGATCAACTCTGACTCTATAGCAGTTGGCGTATCGTAAGACCACTGCTTACACTGTGATGCTAACTACTATCGGATTTAGATGTTGGAAATGAAAGCCTCATGGAATATTGCATGTATGTGGCTGCAATATTGCTGCTGGAGGAGACCGATGATCCTTCAAGGCTTCGCCATGGGGAATCTTCTTTAGCGGGTAAATCCGACGATTCTTTCCTAACGCGCGAACATATCGCAGTCAGGCATCAACTCGGGTGATAATTCCATGATCTAGCATTAATCTAAGGCGTCAAATAGTGGCATGCCTGGCAGGGTGACTCACGACAGAGGCGCGTGGTTGTTACCAATCTTGAGAACGAGGAGAACATGGATGATTGGTGGACAACAAACAGGGCACACATCGAAAATTCCGGCATTATCCCCGTTACGCATGTCTGCATCACAACTATCAAGGGCTACCAAAACGCCTACGCAGCACGATACTCCGAATCCAGGGAGAAGGTGCACAATATGCTTAAGGAACTTGGAAGTAGTGGTGCGTGCTCGGTGGACGTGAGTAGTTGGTTTGCGCGGATGTGCAAGAAGCTGCGGGAGTTCTTGGTTCCGGCCAAGGGATTGGGGAGGAGTCGTCAGAAGATGCTGCAGATGCTCACCAAGCGTTGCAAGTTGCGCAAGGAGGATGCAGTAAAGCTTCTTCAAAGGATTGACGCGGATGTAGAGAACTAGTAACTTGACTAATTATACTGAACGCCATACTTAATGATAAAGGCTAGGATATCGACTCGGAGTACCTAGTACGAAGCTCTAGTTGTCCACATCTACATACCATACCGGCATGTCATACCCATATAGGTGCCGTCTGCCAATTGATTAGAGTGTTGATCACTCTACAACGTTGGAAAAATTACAATGCACGTTCACACCGATCACTCTTGAGCCTGTTCCCCTAAAGTTGTCTTCCAGTCTCTCTTACTAGCAGGTAGTCCTTCAAGTTAAGCAATAGGTCATTAATCCATTGCTGGATTAGGAGGAAACCTAGGAAACGTTCACTCCTAGTAGGGCAGTGCCACATTGGCGCCCGATAAGCATATAAGTCGGGATATCTTGCCAGGAACCACGTACACTTGACGTACACAGCGACTCTTCAACATGACTGAGCAGCTCCCCCCGTATACTACTCTTCCCCAACCAGAGCCCGAACCACCACAGTATACTCTTCCAGAGACGTTCGGTATCGGACGGCATAGTACCCAGCACCTCGTCCGCCCAGACCAGCTCAAGGCCCATCTTCAACTCCTGGCAGCGTTCAGCCAACTTAAGCAGCGCGTCGTCGCCAGCGAGAGCCTTATCGCAGGATTAGAGTCGGACAGTGAGAAACGTTGGGTATGGTTCGTCAATTTGGCTGTTGAACGGTGCGTGCGTCAGCTTTCTGCGTACACTTGCATTGCGTAGTAACTCACTGCACCGCTGATGACGCACAGGTTTGAGAGATGGTGCTTGACAATTAAGCAATCTGATACAGTGGAGCAACACTTGCCTCCCATTGATGTGACTATGGTATGGCACGCTTATCTTCTGAATCCGAGGCAAGCGCATTCTTCGTCATGAGTGATATTAAACCCTTACGTTTTTTCGGTCACATCCGCAGCTGGTATGCGGAAGACACCGCGCGGATCTCCAAGCTCAAACCTCTTGTTCATTTCACTGATTACTTTTCCAAGCTTCTCGTGCGCCACACCACTCATGAACATTGTCCCTAGCTCACTGACCGTTATGCCAGGCTAACCCCGATCTGCTAACCACTGACGCACCAGAGCATGAACGGGTCTCTGCTTGGGAGCGCCGTACTAAATCGCCCTATGACCCATTTGCATCTGCCGCGGATCTCACGCACAAATCTATCGAGTGCCCTTACTGTGGTCGCACTGTTCTTTCACGTGTGTACCTTGTGCCTGCTTGGGAATGCAGTCTGACAAATAGGTGTAGCGTTCCTGAAACTTAACGGGAAAGGATACGCCCAGAGCAACTTTAGCATTGACTGTGAATGTGCTCGCCGGATTACCAAAGACCTTCTCGGCCTGTACAAGTTCGCGAAAAACATAGTCGAGCCAACAGCGCCGGAGAAATATTTGGCGTGGGTGTCGCGTTATTCACCGTCGAACGACATCTTATATAATTTGATGTGCATAGTGGAACCCTTCATACACCACGTAGCATGCACGATACTGCGCGCGGATACATGATCAAGAGCCGCATCCTCAGCTCCTACATCCTTTTCAAGAAGAACGAGGAAAGTGATCCCGCGCGTCAGGTCTTGACAAACGTTCAGCATGACACTGCACGCATGCGTACCGTGCTGAGCAAGCATTTGAGGCCAAGACTGTACGTCCTTGATTTTGTTGCGATAAATACGTTTCCTCAGTCGACGGACAGGTTGAACAAGATCATGGGGGCCTACACGGATGACAGGGTATTTTCACTCGATTTGGTTGGCGCTGTGAGTAGACTCTTGACATGGATCACAAGTTGGGAACTAACGGATGAATCAAGGTCCTCCGGCAAGCCTCATTTGTAAAGAAGATGGTCGACCTCGGGTGGACCGAACCAGAATATTTCGCCAACGAGGTGGATGCAGTGGCACTGCAACATTGCGTAGCTCGCTATCATGCGTGCGTACTTGCTCCTTTTTTCAGCGCACCGCACAGGAACTATGATCAACAGATTTTTGAACCTCATGGCAGAATCGCCTGCATCGTTCTTTGTGCCTACACTCGACATTGACCTCGGGTGGCACACTCATCAGCTCATGGCGACTCAGTATCAGAAGGACTGCCTTTTGCTCGTAGGACGATATGTTGATCAGTAGGTGCTGCGACGATTACTTCACGGAGAACACATAATGACTGTCGATTTTTCAGCGATGATAAAGTGGAAGAAGGTCAACTCGCGACCTCCTTCGACCTCACTTGTCGAGCTTGGAACGTAAGCTATTGTTCCTTGGAGTTCGATTTCTTCATTAAACTACTCGAAATTCTAGAACTGCTATCACGTCCCTTACATGCACTGCGGGTGTCCACTCCCAGGCGACACAATCGGCCAAAAGCTCCGACGTATTCTCTCCTCTCAAACCACCAACGTGCTGCTACTTCCTCCCCAATCTGATGCACGCGCTGCAACACACCCAAGCGATCACAACGCTGTGTTTGCTTTGCACAATATGTCCACAAGCCTGCGTCGCCGGGAGAACCGTGCACGTAAGGCAGAAATGCGAAGGCAGCGGGCAGAGCGAGATGGGAGGGTTGTGAAGAGAGATGGTAATGTTGATCACGGGATTGCATTTTTGTATCCTGTGCCGATGTATTATTATTACCCTGGTGGATGCGTTGCTGCTGGTGGTGGAGCGATGATGACTGGAGGTTTGGGATGTGCAGCGGTGAGTGTTGTTGTGCTTGGAGAACGAGGGGAGCTGATATCAAGCTTACAGGGGGCCGGCGGCTGCTCCACTGGTGGCTCAGCGTGTGGTGGGTCTGGTGCTAGTGCTTGTGGGACGTCATGTGGTGGGGGGACTGGAGGGGGCTGGGGGGGCGGGGCCGGAGGGGGCTGTGGAGGTGGAGGTGGCTGTGGTGGCGGAGGTGGCTGTGGTGGTGGGTGTGGGGGTGGTGGTGGGTAAATCAGATTATGTGCTATATTTTCTTGAATCTCGACTGCCCCTATGTACTCACTTATCGTATGTCGTGCTCTGAAGATGTTATTCGGTGGATACTTATCTTTATCTTGATTGATCTTGTATTACGAATCGACCTTTATCTATTGATCATATATTAATATAATGTCACGTGTTGAAACTTGAACATGAACGGGCCTGTTAAACTAAATGACCGCAAAGGAGAAGGGCTATGCGAAGGAGGTCAACAAGGCTAATATATTGCAAATTTATGCCTAGAAGACAAGGCGGACTGGAACTTTGTCACTCAATGGGCAACTCGGTACTCTCAACTTGAAGGGACTGCGTGGATGGCATAAGGTTTACTGTCTCGGACATCAAAAACTGAAATTCCTTCTCATATTTTATTATGTGTCTTTGCTGCCAATGAATGAGAGACCCTCGGCTTTGTGAGCTGAATCGCGATTCCAAGCGCGTCATCGCCAGCGAGAGCCTTATCGCGGGACGGAAGACGGACAGGAAGAATAGTTAGGTATAGTTCGTCAATTTGGCTGTTGAACGGTGCGCGCATCAGCTTTTTGAGTGCGCTTTGGGCTGTGGAGGTGGTGGTGGATATGGCGGATGCGGGGGTGGGTCAATCAGACAGTCTGTCATTGAATCTTGAACGCATCTGTGAGCTTACCCGTCGAACTCTGAAGGTGTTCACTCGGTATGAGATACTTTACTATAGTAGTGCACTGGCTCCTGGTCGCATTGCGCCTACGAAGGAGGTCGACTCTGCTATTGCGAGTCGTTGCCTGAGCCGTTTGTTCGGACCAGGCAGACGTTTCGGATGAAGTTCATCGCTCGATGGACACCCAGAGTTGAAAATCCTGTCGCACTTTATGCGAAGAACTCGTGGATGACATCATAATTGATTGTTGTCTCAGATATAAAAACATGACAACATTGACGTATTCCTTCTCATATTTCCGTGGTGTCTTTGCTGCTAATGGATGAGAGACCCTCTGGGCTTTGTGAGCGATTCAGCGATTCCAAGGAATGTTTCAGCAAGTTGAACCTGAATATCAGAAAAACCATGTCAAGGAGACTTCACGCTCGCCGTTGGATGAAATTGCTTACCGTATCTAAAGCTGTTGTGTATGAGGACGGAACAGTAACTGCAGCGGGAGCCAAGACGTCCCGTGGGGCATTGTTCTGAATTTCAAGAGCAATCTGGAACATTCTTCTCAATGTTGCGGAATATCTATCTTTGCCAAAAGACACAGAGTGGAAGGATAGAGCTTTTCTATATTCGAAGCCTGAAAATCAATCAATCAAAATGGTAAAAAAAGCCACAAACCCGAGCCGGACTGCAGCGAGGCACAAGTCTTGAATCGTTTGGTTCTCGATAGGGCACTCGCCATCCGACAGAAATATGATTACAGGAGTTCTAGAGTATGTACCTGTATAAGAATTTGACAATCAGTCGATAATCTCAGACTCACCTCTCCGTGCTCCAGTGTTGCTCCATGACTGACTGGGCACGTTGAACGGCAGCAGTGAAGTTTGTGCCTCTCGAAGTGTTATGACGTAGCACAGCGTCTAGCAGCTGGTCAGGTGAGCTGGAGAAATCGTTCACAACAGCGTCCACAGTGGACCGATCAAACAGGATAATACTGTAGGAGTCTCGTCTGGCTGCTTGTCGACCAGCAACTGCTGCAGCTCGGGCAGACCAAAAGCCGTATAATGACGAGAGAACTGCGCCAAACCTGTTGTTAGAGCTTTGGATAATCCTGTTTGAGGCAGGGGTATTCATCAGGGGTTGTCGATCTATCAAGCTCATGGAGCTAGATCTACCAATGGTCAGCATGCACTATGATATTTAACATATGGCATATAATACCTATCCGCCACAAAAATTCTGGTGTGCATTCATTAACGACTGTGCTATGAAAAATGAAAACACCTTACACATGAAATGCTTGCTGCATCACCACGGGATTCCTGCAAGAGAAAAAATGTCCATCATTAGAGACGTATCCGAGCGTCGCCGGGGCATCGTTTGGATTCATTGGAACATGAAAGAGAGCCAAGATACAAAAAGAGGGCTGAGCGGCATTGCCCTCTCCAGCAGTGTGTTCAGGACCTGATGTGAGGATGAGTAATAAAAAAGATTGGCAATAAATATGACTTGACCGCTGCACATGGCGTCACTGAATAGGGGATGTAATTCCTTCTACGAACCAAGCACTGAGAAACGCACCATTTTGCAAAGTTTGTTTGTTCCTCCCGAGAGTACGGATCTTTGAAGCCTGTGGACTTCATGAGACCAGCAACACAGACTGACAAGACGGCGACTTACCACTCCGCCGCCAGAAGAGATTGTGTGTCAAGAAGTCTTTGGCACGGTCCGGGTGCGGTAAAAGTCTCTTGAAAATGTGCTGAGCTTCATTGTTTCCTGCACAAGGCGCGGCGTCCTCCGCACGACAGTAATCGATGTGGATATGGCGGCCCAATGCCTGACAGACAAGGTTGCACATCATCGGCGCACCCTCATCATTTGAAGAGAAGCGACGGCCTTCAACCTCGAGACCCGCATCATCTGGGCCATCAACTGCCCATCGTGAAGAAGACATCGAACCATGTCTAGTTTCATGCTCTTGTTGCGGGTGACCTAATGAAATTGTTCGTGAAACATGAATTCTGGCACAGACCAGCTGTACTTACCGAGCGGCAATGTACAATAGTAGCCACAGTGATCACACCTTGACATATGAGAAAATGAGACACGGCGCAAAAACGAAAGAAAAGTCCAAACTTCGCTCTGCAGAAATGCACCACTTTTTTGTCCAAACTGTGATTGTGAGGACCATTATGAGCCACCAGGCCTGGCGGTATCGACTTGGCACATCTCAGTCGTTTAGCCACTGTGTTGACAGCGAGTCAGTGGTCACGTAACATCAACCAACTCGCAAACATACCTTGCGAGTACTGCGAACCAGGATCGTATGTCAGCTCAGAAAATGATGTCCACGATAAAAAGAGTACGCCACCTTCGTGTACTGGAACGTCTCGTGCCTTCCCGTGAATGTTGCCTCGATTGATTGTGGCGCAGTCTCAATTTCGCAGATGCCTTCGGCAGTGCATTGCATGGAACAAGAATGTTCCTCCCTATTTGACGATTAATTATGAAGATAGACTGCATGATCATCGACAAACCCGCAGAGATGAATAGCGCCGTCTTCCAAACCGTGAAGATGGTCTGTATTGGCACAGAGTCTTTTGCAAAGTTGACAGTGGAAAGAGCAAAGTCGAGCATCACACCGATGTTGGGCATGGTCTACGTCACTGCAGCAAATAAGCTGTCAGAAGGTGGTACGAAACGTTCAGTTAACGACTTACCTTGAAATGCCACAAGTATCGCGGCAAGGTCGAGTGGATCCGTCACCCGACCTCAGCTTTGATAAATCGCACGGCTACATGAAATTTTAGCGCGTAAAAAGGTTGTTCAAGGGTAAAACATACCTGACCGCAAGCATGCACAGTAGCGGCACATAGATGGTCGTCTTCGGCGTGTCCAATCACCTAAACAGCAAGCTCAACGGCCTTCTACCCATGGTGAAGATGATCTATCTCACCTTCGTACACTCCTCCAGACATCCCTGTCTCCCAAAGAGTTTGCAAACTTGACCGCAGAGATGCGCATTAACAATACATCTGGAAGGGGCGAATCCAATGTGAGCTCATGTACAGATATGATCATAAAAGCTTTACATATGACTGCCTGGATGTCCCGCTCTGAAAGCTTATCAGTCATTTGCTGAGTGAGTATGCACATGGACTTACGACATCGAGCAAGCCTTGGTCTCTCCGGATGTCGCACAGAAATCGCAAGAACGAATGCAAGCATGTGAAGTCTGGCAATTATGCTGTCCGTCGTGCAGTCTGCTCTGAACGCAGAGCAACTCGCAGCTTCCACATTTGAGCTTGCACAACTGTAAGTTGCTCTTCATGTCTACTGTTGCGTTTTCAAACGATCTCATGAGTTCGTCGATGCTTGCTTGCCCGCTTTGGAAGCGAGCGACGTTCGATGATATCCACTCGTGAACGTGGGCAATGCGCAAATTGACCAGGCTGTCGATATGAGCGGTCAGATTTTCAATCCAAAGTGCCTCCGGCACGTGATGGCGAGAATCATAGTCTCCCCATGCATGAGACAGGACTTGCAAAGCGACCTCTCGAGAAGAAGATTGCAATCCCACCGCCAATGAAAATTCTGATGAAGTATCAGGCATGTCAATCGGGACATCGTCATCCAGGTTCTTAATAAATGCCACGTTAAACACAATTCAAACGACAGACGGAAAAATTCACACCTTCAAAGGTTCTGGGTCGGGATCAACCTCTTGCAGTCCGAATGCCAGAGCGTTGGGCAATCGGGCGAGAAGAAGTTGTGCTCGATGCGAGGCCATCGATTCTGCGAAGCGTTGTTCGTCAATTGAACTATTGCTGCTTTCAAGGGCACTTACGTGACAGAGCGCCCCAATCATTTGCCTGTGGAAGTTCTAAGTGATACACTCCCCACACGTACGGCGAAACAAACGTACCTTCAGTTTAGCCATCAAGGTCTTCACCGCATGAAGAAACTCTCCTGCTGTATTATGAGTGAGTTTTTGTTTGTCTAATCGGCGCTTAAGGGCTGGGAATAACTGGTAGAATTCCTGCGACTCAATCACTGGCCTACAAAAAAAGACAAAGTGATATGTAGACACAAATACAAGAACTACTGTACATACCATGGGATTATATTCAACTGTCCAGCGTGGAGGCGAGAAATGAAGTTGGCCTCTTGTTCGTCTTGGACAATCTTCTGAAATTTGAGAGCGAACCTGATTGTCAGCTTGAGTATGCGCTCTTCAGGATATGGCCAGAAACATGCTCTTTGGTGATATCCGCTTTGTCTGAATCCACAACATCCTAAAAAGTTGCTGAGGTCAGGAATATGAAAAACGCCCAACAAAGGTGAAAAAAAATCACCTTGATGATGATTGCCAATGTTGATTGAAAAAGACTCGGGTTGGCTGCTGGATCGAGGACTGTCGCACTCGACTGGAATGACTGGAAAAGTCCTGTAATATCGCGGCTCAAGGCAAAGTTATTCCGGAATAGCACCTATGAAACGAGGTCAAGCTCCCATTCACAACATGTAAGTGACGTGTCGAACCAAGTTAGAGATCGCAGTATTGAAAAGAACGAGTAAAGTATCTTCCTGGGTGGAACGCTCAATACTATGGACACCTTTTTTCAGCGAAGATTCAGATATCAATACATAATGTCGCTAGAATGACTGATTTAACATGCCTTCAAAATCCAATGCGACTACAAGAACATCTTTGGTCGGAGTCACCGACATCCATACTCCTTCTGTCGTGCGCATCGCAGATCCGGCGAAAGATGTGTCCACGAGATGGTTCAAGGAGAAGCTTTTTCCCACTGATTGTTCGCCCATAGATGACACGACCTTAACAGGCTTGAAGTTACATGGGAAGTCAGTAGCTTTAACATATCGCAGGGCATTCATGTAATCCATACCTTTCTGGCCATGTATGACTGAAACAAAGATTCATACCAACCAAAGGACAGGTGATCAACAATGCGGTTGACATCCGCACCGAGAAGGGACTTCTCTAGCTCAGTAGAATACACCCCATCTTTGAGTGGTATGAAACGGTTTTCCTTCGTCACGGCGATCTGGATAGGAATCAGACAGAGGAATTCCGCCAGCCATTCGCCAGCACGAAATTCCGATACGCTCCACTCCGCATCTCCAAGGTGATCATTGTGGAAAGCAGAGTATGTCGTTGCAGAGACAGCGATTCTCTTGAGAATATTTCCGGTTGGCTTCTTTGACGTCCTTTCAAAGTTTGATACAAGATCATGGAAGTGCGGCACAAATGTCTGATGGTCCTGATCTGTAATGAAGACCAATGTTCGCTGGCACCTCTTACTGGACGATGTTATCGTTTCCCGCTGAACGGCAGGAAGAACCGGGAAGCGATTCCACACTTCGGCGTGACAATCGATGAGACAATTATGGGCGGTGGCGCTCTCGGACTTTGCATTCCCTCCTCGGGCACCCTTTTCTTTGAAGGTGAACTCTGTCACTTTTCGGGTGATGTCGAGAGCGATAGATCGACATGATTGAGTGTTAATGTCGAGTGTGACCAAATGCACTATATTACGACTAGTCAGTGAAGTCAGAAGCATTGGCTGGTCCAATGGAAGATCAGAGATCTCGAGCGGGATGCCATCCGTTGAGCCGAAGGTGCTCCAGTGGTAGGCGGTTAGCGTCAAGTCAGACCCGCGGACATGAGCCACGATTAAGCAAGAACCATCTGGAGTCGAGTACACTGCTGTTGGAATCTGAATAAGATTCAGAGTCGCAGGCCTGTGATATACGAATTAGATGTCTTTCAGTCTTGTGGGCGCGAATCTGACCTAAACTGCATTGTTGTCAGAGAGTAAACTCTGGCCTGTGCCAATGTATCAACGAGCAGCAATTCTTCGCCACCGCATATGAAACACGCATGATTAATCAAGGCTCCTTCAAGGTACCATTGAGTCAAGTTGATCGCACTACCATTGGCCTGGAAACCGAGGGTGTCATCGTAAACGAAAATATGTAAGAGAAGCTGATGGCGTTTCGTCAGGTGCGTCCCAGCAGATTCCTAGTGGAACGAACCTTCTCTGTGGCAACAACCGTGAGCACACGTTTCGACTCATCAAAAGCCAGAATGAATTCGCCGATCTTATCGCGGTTCAGCTTTTTCCCGCGGCTGCCGATAGCCAAGGCGCCCTCAATAGCAGTGAGGCGTTCCAGGTACACCGTCAGGTTTCCAAACCGATCAGTCGTCGCGAGCAAGATCTTCTCGCCTGGAAGCAGTTGGGCTCTCCTGTAATTAACGATGGAGTTCTGCGTCAGTTATATCCAGGAACCGAATTGCAAAGAGCACATACGCCACTGAATGACCAAGAGGTAACCAGAACGAGAACGAGTTCCTGAACTTTGGTGAGGGAATCGTGCTAGAATCTAACTGTAAAGAATGCAGATCCTGTGTTGTCAATTGCATGGGGTGAACCGTGAATTTCAGCTTTGGCTCCTCGAAAGATTCCCTTGACCCCGTTATTTGCACCGAATACCCAGCTAGAGACCGTTTCATTGACATTCGAAACGAAAAAGAAAGATTGGCACACCATTGTAATAGCCTCGTCCATCCTCGATGGCGTCGATAAGAAGGGTGTGCCTGCCAGTTTATGGATGTGGTGAAACAGAAACACGGTAAAATCACTTACGAATGATGACCTGTCTGTGAATGGGCATTGATTTCAACGATGAACCTCTTTCGTGATTCGGCCAGTTGCTGCTCGTCACAGATAGCTGTTTCCCTATGAGCTCGGGCCACAGATTCATCAATTTGTATGCGCAGGGCCGAATGAGTCAAAGTTGTCGTCTGCGTCGTTATAAGTGATCTGAAATGCACCAACGCAGCATCCCTGGAACCTGCGACGACTTTTTTCATAACGGGAAGCTTATCCATGTCATCCAACTCAGCGAGGAATTGAGTGTCACTGATCGTAGATACAGCACTCTCTGCATCTTTGAACGTCTTATCCACGAACTGAGAACCTTGCCCGGACGAAATGAAAGAATTGATACTGCTCCAAGCTTGGCCCACCAATCCCTTTGACTGCTGATGCGGGGCAACATTTTTCCCTAGCATCCTGACAGATTCCTTGACGTGTCGCATGTCCCCGTAAAGAATCATATCCAGGAAGTTTTCATCTTCCATCTCGATGTCGGGAAATTGACGAAGTAGGCTTTGAGCGATATAGTATCGTTGTTTGTAGCTCTTGAAATCGCGACTGTTGATCTTCTCGATGCGCAGCTTTTGCATCGTCCGATGAAGCTCTTTCCCTATTTCTGGGTATCGCTCAATGATGGTAGAGAGTTGATCTGGATAACCGTTAGTACGACACAACTTCACTACAGAGATGAATACCTTGGGCTTCAGAGCTAGCCTGCTCGCTTTTCTTGGAACCAGGAGAAACGCCATCAGCCGGTGCACTAAGTGAATAAATCAGAAATGGATGAGGTTGTTTCAAATTTCGATAACTCACGAAGGAGCGACATCAAGTTCGACCGGATCTGAACAGATCGTTATTTTTAAACGAGTTGATTTTAAGGACAATATACCTTGAGTTATAGGGTTGTCCAGTTCGCTTTTGTTGGGGCACGGGAAGGAATTAGGGGTGAAAGTGCTGAAGTGATCGGGTAAGAGATACAAGCGAGTGGTGTGAAGGGATACTCACGGGAAATTCTCAACGATGGCGTCAACCAATTTCCTGTGGAAAATCCCAGTGAGAAGGGGCAAGTCATTCTCGAACTTCGTCTTGATGGTGGCCTCAGTTGATGCTTTGGTGGCCTTGGCGTTGGAAAAGATATCGGCAGACTCCTGCTTCAATTGTTCGCACAATTGTGGGAAGCGATCCTGAAGGCCTGCGCCCAGCAAAAGGTGTACTGCGTTGGCATCCAAGTTCTCATTCACCCGCAATTTGTCATGGTGCCTGGGGGAGTATCAATCTAAATCCAGGAACTGGCAAAAAGAGTAACACCCACAACCAATCACCTAACTGGAGGCGAGTGACAGACCTGCGTTTCCATGCATCGGTGACCCGCTTGGCAGGTAGATAGTTGATTGTCATGAACCCTTGAGTAGTCTCGCCGTGCAACAACCAAGGCTTATGCAGTCCGGAATCTTCTGTTACCTCCGGGTGAGGCTGGGGCATGGCTATGTGGACGGATGTAGCCTACATGCGGTTGTCAGCACTATACAAGTCGCGATGAGTTGGGCAAACCTTGAATCCAGGACGCGGCTTTACGGCTTCTTCCTGCTCGTTGGTTTTCCTAACTTCAAACGTGAACATTCTGTCAGGCTCGTATTGGTCTTGGTCTATTTCCATCAAAGTGTCATCGCCTTCTTGTCCAATCCACACAATGGAGCGGGCATACTCGGGGGAGATCAGTGCCATGACTTGGTCACACATTGTCGTGAGGTACCTAATGTCCCGTGTCAAAAAATACCCGCCGGAAGAACTCAGAGAGGATTAGACGAACCGCATAAAGGTAACACGGTTACGCTTCACGGATGAAGGGGCTGAGTCATCCCAAGTGGCATCCTCGGGCCAGTAGATGATGAACAGTTGTTCACCAGAGGGAGCTTCACCATTCGTTCGGACGACGTATAGTCCAGAACGAAGGCTTGGTTTTGAAACACTAGAATCGCTGTGGTTCGCAACAAGCTGTGCTGCTCTACAGGAAAAGTTCATTAGGATGTCGATCTGCAGATCGAACTTAGTATCTCACATGTGGTCGTCAACGACACCGAGAGACAACAAGAGTCGCACTATTTCTTCTTTGCTCCCATAGATTCCAACGGGCTTCACGATCAAGCCATCGAGTGCGCGGAAGTTGACCTTTGTCATGGATACATATGCACCGGGATAAATGGTATTGGTGAACGCCCGAAGTGAATCCTGCGCAATAATAATTTTGTCCACTAGAGGCAATCAGCGAAGGAAGGTTCAGCAAGGACAATGAAGTCACCTAGCCCACCGCTCCCTTGTTCACTGATCAAGTCCAAGATACGATACATCCCCTTGATCGACTGGACAAGGTCACGGGCGTCATTGTGCGGAGGGGAGTCTTCCACGTCCATCTGACAAAGAAGAACGCGAAAACTCCAGCCCACATCATGATGGCCAGAAGGAAACTAAACTTACATAGTCTTCACCGTTATGGGATTTTACGGATTGATACAAATCGTCATCCGAGTCCTCTGTCCAATCTGTTTGATCACCTTTCGATGAAACTGAGCGCTCATCATCATCGTCCATCTCGTCAAGCTGAGCTGAGGATGAGGATAGAAACTTTGTAGATCACGGGAAAAAAAAATTCGTGTTCTGTGCCGAGCAAGATGTAGTTGTTCAGCAAGGTGCAAATGCAGTTTTTTCAGTGGCGGTGGCGGATGGGCTCAGGACTGCCGGCATGCAACCTGCAGGCTGCACTGCTGCAGTCATGTGTGCTTTATTATGTATGTGTCTTCAGAATCAGATGCTATGCACATCTTCTTGAATACCACTTATAATCATTATGCCTCCTCCACACGCGTGATGGAAGGCTGCAGCAATATTAATGACACATTGGCAGAAGAAGAGGAAAGAATTCGTCCGAGGCTAATAGTGCACGGGAGAATGAACATGGAAGGATACAATGATAAAGTTAATGAACCAAGTGCAAATTTGACAGAAAGATAACAAAAATCCTGAAAGTCCTGTCCCACCTGTTACTTCACAGAATCAACTCCGAAGTCTTCAGCAGTCGTACATAATATATCGCTCGACCCAATGGTGAGCACATGTATTGTCATTCAGCCCTTTGACCGCGGCGACGACGAGCACTGCGTTCCTGCAGTACGCGGGAGCCAGCCGTCGTCGGCGCCCAATCCGAGCAATTGTTGACAACAAGGTCGCATAGAGTTTTTCTGAACTCTGGGATGCCTGGATATTACCGAAGCGCTGTGACGCAAGCTTGGTCAACGAGCTCTTGAACTGTTTTTCTGCCCTCGCCGCTGGCACCCGCGATATCAAACAGGACGAAACTCTGACCAGAAATTTCTACTGCGTGGCGTTCAGAGATAGAAGTGCATCCCAGTACATCATTGGATGTCTTAGCGGGGTCTTTTTGCGCGATTGTATTGATGACTGAACTTTTCCCTGGGCCGGTTTCGCCGAATATGACAACATTTCTTCCCCGCGGACGCGTCTGCTGCATTTCATGAACAATGGTGTCATCTCGATAAATAAGCCACAGACTTTGCGGTTACTCAACGACGCATGTGTAGAGGGCGGTGGTGGTGACAGTGTCTTTTCAGGTCACCATTCATTGGCGCAGTGATCGCGGTAGTTGCCGCAGCAATCGCTGGCGCTACGTCGGACTTCTAACCCCTTGGCATCGTCACCCACAACGACTAACGTCACAAGCCCAACGTCTCCAACAACCGCAACCACTGACAATAGACAATATCAATGCCAGTCTGTTGAACCGAGTCACATTTCAGCTGTCACATCTCCGGCCTCACATGGCAATAATGCAGCGTCACTTTGCAGCAGAAGATAGAATTCGTTTGGACTAATGATGCACGGGACAATGAGCATGACAAAAAATAATGATGGTCTTGATGAGCTGGGTGGTAAAGAAGTTGAGGAGCCCGAGTAAATGAGACAGTCGAGCATCATGCCAACTGGGACCTCGAACCCATCCATGCAAGCCTCAATCACATGAACGAAACCATGGATCAGATGCTGAAGATTTTTAGACTTGACCGTCTGGAGCACCGGCTTGACTCTGATCCCGTTGAGCGGAGGCCCCGACGGTCCGAACCTCAAGCAAGTGGGCTCCCGTTTGGCCACGCAGAGCGGCCATTGAATGGGTTTACGCGCGAGGTACAGGAATTACTTCTATTCTTTTATTCATTGCTCATGTGCACAATATAGCCATATAGTAGTAGATGCTCCTCCTGCGGCTTTGAGTATTTGAAGTCATCTCCCACAGATCGTTGATGTTTTTTTATTGTGTCTTATTCACATCGACGACAAGATGTCGACAGCCTAATTATTGATTTGATTCACGAACCACGACATCCCCGCGACCCCACCGATCTGCAATTAGAGAATTACATTACTTTCAGACCTAAGTGGTGATATAGAAGAATCAGTCAATTTGTTTATCCGGCACAGGACAGACACGTCCCTTGGATTATGGGGAAGTAGATCTGGAAGAGACGGTAAATGACTGGTTGGACAAAGACTCAGAAAGTTGGCGTATTGTCAGAAAAGAGCGTTGGGCGCGAAGGGGAACAACCTGAGTGGTGAAAAGCTCTGAGATTGAGATAGTAGCACTGGGTGGGTATATATACGTTATTAATATCGTATGTTGGGTACTCTCCCGTAGCAAATAATCATTCCATCTTTGTTATGATTCTTAGGCCGTCAGTGCCTCAGAATCATTTTGCCCTCGGTGGCCCCCACGAACTCGAATGCTCAGATTCATCCATGTAGTCGACCACCACCGAGCGCTCGACGCGTACGCGTACACCGAGCTCCATGTCGTCAGCATGCCCACTATGAGGAGATGCGGGCCCGAACTCTGCATCGATGGGGGTTTTAGAGCCTTTGGAGTGGCTCTTGGACTCGAACTGTGAGCGGAGACCGGACATCACTTTTTTCTGCGCGGAATTTGTGTTACGCGCGACGATCACGTTTTCCAAGCGTTGGGTATTAGGCTCTGACATTCCTTTGCGAGTGCGGGCGAGTGGAGCGGAAGCAACGGAACAAATATGTATTGCGAGCGTTAGCGGATTAGCAGTCAAGCTATGGGGTGGTGCGCACCTCGTATATTGATGAGGATCCGTTGGCTCATGATCCACGTTACAGCATAACCTATTGATGCCCTAATGCATTCTGAGCGGTTTGATCTCCTTGACACCAGACGATGCGAAACTTACCCTGCGGACTAAGAATAGGAGCAAGTCGATATAATCGAGCTGAGTTTTCATGATGTATCCATAATTAAGCACACTTACCTGGGTCTCTATATCGGTCGTATGATATAGGATGAGGTTCAATACATTCGCCGCTAAGGGAATGTTAGGAGGATGCTCATCACAAGCAGATCGTACTTGCCGGACAACACGATGAAATATCCAATGCCATCATAGATCAAGCTAAGTATCATGAGCGACACGCATCGATTCTGCCATTGATGATGGACTTACACCCGTATCAGCCGTTCTACTCTAACAACAATGGTTTAGCAACCCTAAAGACGGGAGTGAAAAAGCGCACCTGCTACTAAGAGGATTATAACGCAGAAGATGCATGGTAGATACCGTCACCATCACGATGTCATAAATCATCACAGCGAGGTAGTAGAACCAGGTTGACAATACTCTGCCAGCATTTGCTGAGGTGCAACTATGGTTCGTGAGGATCTCAACAGCCCAGGTGGTAGAGGAATCACTTACTTTCCCTAAAAGGAACGTCGTTTGCATGAGATTTCGTTGTAAGGAACACTGACGTACATCAACCATAACAGCTGTGAGTTCTCAAGGTCAATGTGAACCCAAGATTAAATCATAAGCCAGAGCTTACGGGTGCGATGAAATAGATCGGCAAACCACTCCGCCTAAAACGAATAAGAGAAGGGATATTGTGTCTGTAAAGGCTCACCGCAATTGCGAATAGATATAGCAGCAATAGTGCGATTCCTATCCGCCTATCTCTTCTTGCAATATTGAATGTCCTACAGGGTGTTGTAAGTTTGTGCAGTTGCAACCCTCAATAAATTCACAGGACGTACCTGACACCTAGGATGACCTGCGATATCATAGTTTGTATGGCTACAGCGTGGTCAATAGAGTCCTGGCGGGCAAACATCAATAGGACAGACCTTTGAAGATAGGTGCCACAAGATAGTACTGTTGACATGTTTGGAGGGTAAAGGCGGTGGAGAAGTATCCGTAATTGCTGAGTACTATGGCCAATATACTAAAATAGCTGCATTAAATGTGAGCGACAAAAACATGACAGGAATGAGGACAAAACGTGCCGTATGAGAATAAATAGGGCGCAGGCAATGCTGATGGAGATCGAGCCTGTTAATAGTGGTACGTGAATGTTTGCATACACATACCTTATATGAAAAAATGACGATTGGCTTCGGTAAAAGCGCCATTCTGCGGGGAGGGTGAGAACGTAACTGGACGTGGTCAGCGACGACTACGGGGACGCTACACAGAAAAGACAAGGCTTACTCGTAAAATGCGATGGAGATGGATGCTATTCGCATATACTTCTCCGAGGTTGTGCTGTCTACAACTAAACGCCGTTCCATTTAATAGATAAAAGGCGCGTTGATTAGCTCTGCGTCAGGCAGATCTGTCCTTGATAGACTGATGCCAGATATGAGGCAAAAATTTGAAATGCAGCAGTTAATGACCAAGGCTTCTGCGAATAGCCTGGGACGCTCTGTTTTCAACAGAGAAAGGAAGAGAAACGGAGCAGGAGGAACTGGGAGCCAAGACATTGCTTTTCTACCAAGACCACACTTTGAAATTGAGTGAACATGGTTTTAAAAAGGGGGAGAGCTTGTCCAGACACGTCCGAGGCTCGGTTGAATTCAGACTCAGTAAAACTTTCGTGCAAGCCAAGTTTGAGCCAAGTACAAGCCAGCGAGGCGTTTTAAGGTCCAACCCCACAACGTTGCTGATCTAAGCAGACATGCGGGGTTTATTATAAAATTCAAGTCTCACACTTATCTCGAGGAACACATCCGACTGTCACCGTGAGTCCTGCCAGACGTCGTTTATAACTCACGCTAATATGTTTGAATCAGACGGGCTCCAGTTGGTGCACTCGCTGGGCTATCCAGCTGCCATAGCGAAGGTCCCAGGAGAATCTAGTCTGACACAGATTCGACTCACGTTCATGAGTCATCATCCTCTTCCCTGGACCTGCCACTGGACGACACTGGCTACTATCTTCAAGAACTAAAGATACCACAAGTCGCTCCCCCTCAGCCTCAGACCCCTCGATCCTCCTCGCCACTTCCTGCGGCCAGGGCTAAGGGGTGAGCTGCCATGAATGACAAATATGTAATTGGACCTTTGACATCCCGTAGACGGAAGGGTGAATTGATCTCTTGGCGGACAGTTTCGTGAATGGTGGTTTTTTTCCCTCGTGATATCTCATCACGAGCGCTCTAGCTAGGTGGTGTTGATGTTCCTATTCCCGTGTAGCCTCCACACGCTCAAACGCATTGTTTAAGTCTGGTGCTGCCAATGTCTCCATCTCTTCGGAACTCTATGCCTACAGGGCCCCACCATGGGCCCACGAAAAAGTGTCAATTTAGGACATGCGAAGAGTGAAGTATAAGTCCACTTCATTTAGTGCTCTTGACAACTCTGCAGCTCACTGGCAGTATATGCCGTATCCTTTATGTGAACCAGGGTTACATAGACGGGAAACCCTGGGGACCTTCTCAAGCTGATTATAGGTTCCGGGTGTATCGATGCCCCTGCCCTTAACGGCAAAGCAGAACCACTACCAGAGCAAAGGGAATGTCATGATAAGCATTTCTGCGCCTCAATCGATTATACCGCTACTAGTACTCATTATTCTTGCCTCAGAGTCCCTGAATATGACCCACTCACTGTGTTTAGGATCTTTGCTCCAGTATTCCACCGGGCGCCCACTTCACGAGCTAGAAGTTTGCGATACCCATGTCTATTTCTATCTGGATTGATTGTATACATCTTTGGCGGCATCCGTTGCATCGCTTGGTTGTTGCATTCCCCACATTTCAGAAACAAATTCTATGGCGCATCAGTGTCATGGCTATAACTTGCACGCCCTGGCTTAGTTCCTTCATCTTATTTCTCTTTGGCATCCTGATGCATAGACAAGATGTGGTGCACGTTATAAACCATATAGTTTGTGCCACGTTTTGCGTGGTAGCACGCACCATCCTCTTGGTACTTGTTGTCACCACTTTGAGCAATCTTCCTCCTGACGCCTGCAAGGCGGTGTCGCGAACTGGTTTCCTACTACGCTTGTGGTACGCTTCTGAGTTCATTTATTTCTTTGCTTTGCTTTCCCAGAACTTGGGGAGTAAATCGTATCAGATACTGCATACAGGCTCGACTTTCATAGCATCACTACAATATAACATTACACCGGTACTGCTGTCACCGCTAAACGTCGTTCTTTTCTCTGTCATCTCGACGCATCCTTCAATCAATGTATGAGAGACCCCCTCGGCTTCCTGAGCGATTCTGCAAATCCTAGGAACGTTTCGGCGAGTTGTACCTACAGAGGCGTTAAACATGCTTGATTTACGTTCGAGAAGTAGCACTCTTACCGTATCCAAGGCCTGCGTATATGAAGACGCAACTGTTGCTGCTGGTGGGGCCAAAGGATCTCTTGGGGCGTTGTTCTGTATGTCAATTGCAATTTGAGTCATTCTTCGCAAGGTGGTAGAGGATCTATCTGGACCAAATGATACTGCGTGGAAAGACAATGCTTTGCTAGAGATGGTGTCACAAGTCACCCATACAACGAAAAAAAAATCACAAACCCAAGACGAACCGCGGAGCGGCACAGATCTTGAACAGTCTGATCGGCAATACTACACTCGCCATCCGACAAAAATATGATTACAGGGGTCCTGAGAGTAATGTTGGAGATCTTAGACGCGTTTATGGAAAGATCGACGGACCTCTCTGTGCTCCAATGCTGTTCCATGACTAATTGAGCCTGCTGAACTGCTGCAGTGAAGTTCGTGCCTCCGTTGCAGCTATACTGCAAAACGGCGTCTAGCAATTGGTCTGGAGAACTGACGAAGTCGTTTACGAAGGCATTCGTAACGGAAGAACCAAAAAGAATAACGCTGTATGAGTCGCGCCGGGCTGCTTGTTGACCACCAACTGCTGCAGCACGGGCAGACCAGAAGCTATATAGCGAAGACAGCACAGCACCAAACCGGTTGTTAGAGCGTCGCACAATTCTGTCTGAGGCAGGCGTGTTCGGAAGGGGATGTCTGTCACCAGAGGACATGGAGCCAGATCTGCTGATAATCAGCAACAGTAGCTGCACGACAATTGTCTCGCACCTGTCAGCCACAAAGATTCTGGAGTATAATAATTGTATATTGATTAACGTCACTGCAACTGGCCAGACGACCACTTACACATGGAATGCTTGTTGCATAATCACGGGGTTCCTGCATGAGAAAACATGTCCATCATTAGAAACGTATCCTAAACCGACTTGGGCATTGTTAGGATCCATCGGCGGGTGAAACAAAGGCAAAGTGCAATAGGATGGCTGAGCAGTATTTCCAGTTGCAGCAGTGTGCTCGGGGCCTGGAAAAACGGTAAATCACCGATGGGACAAGCGCGCAATAAATCATACCACTACACATTGAGTCACTAACAAGAACACGATTTCATTTGTGTCATCACACTCTAAACATTCGAAACTCACCACTTGGCGAAATTTGCTTGCTCCTCCCGAGAATAAGGGTCTTTGAAGCCTGCGCACTATGTGAGCCCAGGAGTACACCAACAACCATATTACTCACCGGCCCGCCGCCAGAAGAGATTGTGCGTCATGAAGTCCTTAGCACGTTCCGGGTTAGGCAATAATCGCTTAGAGATATGCTGAGCCTCGTTGCTCCCTCTGCAAGCGGCGGCATCCACGGCGCGACAGTAGTCGATGTGGACGTGGCGGCCCAATGCCTGACAGACAAGGTTGCACATCATCGGCGCACCCTCATCATTTGAAGAGAAGCGACGGCCTTCGACCTCGAGACCCGTATCATCTGGGCCATCAACTGCCCATCGTGAAGAAGACATCGAACCATGTCTAGTTTCATGCTCTTGTTGCGGGTGACCTGATGAAATTGTTCGTGAAACATGAATACTGGCGTAGACCAACTGTACTTACCAAGCGGCAATGTACAAAAGTAGCCACAGTGATCACACCTTGACATATGAGAAAATGAGACACGGCGCAAAAACGAAAGAAAAGTCCATACTTCGCTCTGCAGAAATGCACCACTTTTTTGTCCAAACTGTGATTGTGAGGACCTTTATGAGCCACCAGGCCAGGTGGTACCGGCTTCACACATCTCAGTCGCTTGGCCACTGTGTTGACAGCGAGTCAGTGGCAGCGTAACATCAACCAACTCGCAAACATACCTTGCGAGTACTGCGAACCAGGATCGTATGTCAGCTCAGAAAATGATGTCCACGACAAAAAGAGTACGCCACCTTCGTGTACTGGAACGTCTCGTGCCTTCCAGTGAACGTCGCCTCGATTGATTGGGGCGCAGTCTCAATTTCGCAGATGCCTTCGGCAGTGCACTGCATGGAACACGAATGCTCCTCCCTATTGGATGTTTAATTATTGAGATACACCGGGTGATCATCGACGAACCCGCAGAGATGAATAGCGTCGTCTTCCAAGCCGTGAAGATGTTCTGTATTGGCACAAAGTCTCTTGCAAAGTTGGCAGGGGAAAGAGCAAAGCCGAGCATCACACTGGTGCTGGTCATGGTCCATGTCACTGCGGTACATAAGACGTCAGAATGTGGTGCTGGGCCTTCGCTTGACTTACCTTGGAATGCCACAAGTACCACGGCAAGGTGGAGTAGATCCGTCACCCAACCTCAGCTTTGACAGATCGCAGGGCTAGTCGCGTTTTCAGCGCGTAAAAAAGCCTGTTCAATGGTAAAACATACCTGACCGCAGGCATGCACAGTAGCGGCACATAGATGATCGTCTTCAGTGTGCCCAATCACCTAAACAGCAAGCTCGACGGTTTTATACCCACAGTGAAGATGATCTATCTCACCTTCGTACACTCATCCAGACATCCCTGTCTCCCAAAGAGTTTGCAAACTTGACCGCAGAGATGCGCATTAACAACACATCTGGAAGGGGTGATGAGCTCATGCGTGCATACTATAATGAAAGGCGTAACATATGATTTCCTGGGTGTCCTGCCCTGAAAGCCTGTCAGTCGTTTACTGCGCAAGTATAGATATGGACTTACAACATCGAGCAAGCCTTAGTCTCTCCGGATGTCGCGCAGAAATCGCAAGAACGTATGCAAGCATGTGAAGTCTGGCAATTATGCTGTCCGTCGTGCAGTCTGCTCTGAATACAGAGCAGCTCGCAACTTCCACATTTCAGCTTGCACAACTGCAAGTTGCTCTTCAAGTCTACTGTTGTGCTTTCAAACGATCTCATGAGCTCGTCAATGCTTGCTTGCCCGCTTTGGAAGCGAGCGACGTTCGACGATATCCACGCGCGAACGTGGGCGATGCGCGAATTGACCAGGCTGTCGATGTGAGCGGTCAAATTCTCAATCCAAAGATCCTCCGGCATGTGATGACGAGAATCATAGTCTCCCCATGCATGAGACAAGACTTGCAGAGCAGCCTCGCGAGAAGAAGATTGCGACCCCCCTGCCAATGAAAATTCAGACGAAGAATCTGGCGTCCCAATCGGGATGTCGTCATCGAGGTTCTTCATGAATGCCAGGTTAAACGCGATTATAACACAAGGCAGCAGAAGCATTTCTCACCTTCAAAGGTTCCGGGTCAGGATTAACCTCCTGAAGTCCAAATGCCAGAGCATTGGGCAACATGGCTGAAAGAAGTTGTGCTCGATGCGAGGCCATCGATTCTGCGAAGCGTTGTCGTTAACTGAATTATTGATTCTTTCTAACAGTACGCACGTGACATAGCGCCCCAATCGTTTGCCTGCGCAAGTTCTAATGAATGCCCTCAAAATGTACGACACATCGATCATACCTTCAGCTTAGCCATCAAGGTCTTCATCACATGAAGGAACTCCCCTGCTGTATTATGCGTCAATTTTTGTTTGTCCAATCGACGCTTGAGGGTTGGGAACAGCTTGTAAAATTCCTGCGACTCAATCACCGGCCTACATTGGAACAATCAAACGATATGTGGATATAAGAGACGCTGCACATACCAAGGTATGATATTCAACTGCCCGGCATGAAGGCGAGAAATGAAGTTGGCCTCTTGTTCGTCCTGGACTATTTGCTGAAACTTGAGGGCGAACCTGAGCGACGATATGAGCATGTATTCATGTGGATACAGTCAAGAACATACTCCCGAGTAATTTCTGCTTTGTCCGACTCCACGACATCCTAAACATCAACGAGTCAAAACACATGAAATGTAAATTTTAACAGGTGGAAAACTACCTTGATGATGATCACCAACGTAGATTGAAATAGACTCGGGTTAGACGCTGGATCTAGGACGGTCGAGCTTGACTGAAATGACTGGAATAAGCCTGTGATATCCCGGCTCAAGGCGAAGTTGTTCCGGAATAGCACCTACGTGAACGAGGTTAGGTAATCGTCAGTAACACACAAAGGGCAGCAAACCAAGTTAGAGATTGCAGTATTGAACAGGACGAGTAATGTATCTTCTTGAGCGGAACGCTCAATACTATGAACACCTTTGAAGGGCAGATATCAATATGGAATGCCCAACGACGACTGGTTCGACATGCCTTCAAAATCCAAAGCAACAACAAGAGCATCTTTAGTCGGAGTCACCGACATCCAGACCCCTTCTGTCGTACGCATGGCTGATCCAGCGAATGATGTGTCCACGAGATGGTTCAAAGCAAAACTTTTTCCCACCGATTGTTCACCCATGGATGACACAACTTTGACCGGCTTGAAGAAGATTCCACCGGATGAAGTCAGTTATGCTAAACTCGAGGCTTCCATGTAGTCATACCTTTTTGGCCATGTATGACTGGAACAAAGATTCATACCAACCAAAAGACAGGTGATCGACAATGCGGTTAACATCCGCGCCGAGGAGGGACTTCTCGAGTTCGGTAGAATATACACCGTCCTTTAGTGGAATGAATCGATTCTCCCTTGTTACTGCGATGTGGATTGGAATGAGGCAGAGGATATCCACCAGCCATTCCCCAGCTCTGAACTCCGACACGCTCCACTTCTCGCCTTCGAAGAGAGTCTTGGACAGGGCACCGTATGTAGTTGCAGAGACAACCATTGATTTCAGAATAGTTCCCGTCGGCTTCTTTGACGTCCTTTCAAAGTTGAAAATAAGGTCGTGGAAGTGCGGCGAGAACATAGGATGGTCCCGATCGGTAATAAACACCAATGTTCGCGGGCATCTGTTACTGGATGATGTGATCGTCTCTCGCTGAACGGCGGAGAGAACCGGGAAACGTGTCCACACTTCGGCGTGACAATCAATGAGACAATTGTGGGCAGTGACGTTCTCCGATTGAGTTCCCCCTCCTCGGACGCCCTTCTCTTTGAAGGTAAACTCCGTTACCTTACGAGTGATGTCGAGAGCGAATGATCGGCAAGAATTCGAGTCGATGTCAAGCGCAACCAGATGGACTATGCTCCTCTTGATCAAAGAAGTCAAAAGCAGCGGCTGATCCGAGGGAAGGTCCGGAATCTCGAGCGGAACGCCATCTGTTGAGCCGAAGGTACTCCAATGATAGGCGGTCAACATCAAGTCAGAGCCACGGGCGTGAGTAGCAATTAAGCAAGAACCATCTGGAGTCGAGTAAACTGCCTTAGGGATCTGAATCAGATTAAGGGTGGCAGGTCTGTCATACGTATATTAGCAATCATCATTTATCGAAAACTAAACTCCAACCTGAACTGCATCGTTGTCAGAGAGTATATTCTGGCTTGTGCCAATGAATCGACAAGCAGTAGCTCTTCGCTACCACATATGAAGCATGCATGAATGATGGTGACTCCTTCGATGTACCACTGAGTCAAGTTAATCGCGCTGCCAGAACCTTGGAAACTACGGGTGTTGTCGTGAACAAAGATGTGCAACAAAAGCTGATGATGTGTTCGTCAGACCCGTCCAGAAGATTATTTGTGGACCAACCTTCTCTCTGGCGACAACACTGAGCACTCGTTTTGACTCGTCAAATGCTAGAATAAAATCGCCGATTTTATCGCGATTCAGCCTTTTCCCGCGACCCTGCTTCAAGGCGCCTTCGAGAGCGGTGAGGCTTTCTAGATACACCATCAGGTTCCCAGAACGATCAGTCGTTGCGAGCAAGATCTTATCGCCTGAAAGAAGTTGTGCTCTCCTAGATGAAGAGCGTCAATTCATAGATGCACCACAATGTCAAAGCACTGACGCCACCGAATGCCCAAGAGGCAAGTTGAACGAGTACGCCTGCCTGCCGGTAAACTTCGGTGAGGGAATCATGGTAGGATCCATTTTCAAGGAATGTTGATCATGTTCCATTAACTGCATGAGGTGGACAGAGAATTCAAATACAGGATCCTGGAAATATTCCCTTCTGCCATTGACGTATATCTGTGCTGTTACTATGGAACATTTGAGCAGAGTGGGAATGTATGAGGATAGCTCGACCTACGCTGGTAATTCTTTCGTGTCTCCTCGGCGGAATTGATGACAAAAGTGTGCCTATCAACTTGAGATGAAGGCAAAGCAAAAAGTGCAGAATCGCTTACGAATGCTGCCCTGTTTGCGAAAGGTCGTTGATTTCATGGATAAACTCCCTCCGTAACTCGATAAGTTGTTCCTCTTCACGACTAGCAGCTTCTCTCTGAACCTGAAGTAGACATTGATCGGTTTGTATGTGCAGTGCAAAATGCACCAAAGCTCGAGTCTGCTTCGTCACGTGTGACCTAAAGTACTCCAGAACGTCTGTTTTAGTTTCGGCTGCAATTTTTGCCATGATGTGGGATGGTTTGACATCCTCCAACTCCACGAGGAACTGAGCGTCGCTAATGGAATTGGTGTCTGCTTCTTTCAACGTTTTACCGAAGATATGCGTATCCAGGTCAGACACGACGGTGGTGCTGACTTTACCCCACAAAGCGTTTACAAATCCCTTGGGCTTCTCGTGCGGAGGGTTCCCTTTGTTAATAAACTTGACGGTTGCCCTAACGTGTGACATATCCTCGTGGAGAATGATATCGATGGACCTGTCACGGGTTTCCTTCGGCATATCAGGATAGTCGCGAAGGACATTCCAGGCAATGCAGATGCGTTCTTTGCTGTCTTTGAAGTGTCGAGAGCTGATTTTCTCTGAATGCGCTTTACGACGAAACTCTTCCCCAATGTCTGGGTATAATGCAATGAGAGTATCAAGCTCATCTGCGCAACCGATAAATAAGATGCAGACCATAGCAAATATAACATACTCATACTTCGGCCTGAATTACTTTCCGGTTCATTTCTAGTGGAATGCAGAGAGGGATCGATAGCGGAGGTACTTAAAATGATATCAGCGATAAATAAGGACCTGTCGTGGATAGAACTCACGAAGAGACGGTACCAGCAACGCCAGCCATGACCGAATCTGCGAACGGCATTACTCAAAGACAAAATCATTGCAACAGAGGACAGACCTAAAGCCGTGGGGCCATCCTGCCCACACTGCGCAGAACACGGGAAAGATTCGTGAGTGAAGGTACTAGGGCTCGATCAGACGTAGGCAAAGTGTGTGAAGTAAAACGCACGGAAATTTCTCGATGATAGCATCGACCAAAGCCTGGTGAAAAACCTTAACTAGAAAAGGCTCCCCCCTCTTCAAGTCCCCTCTCATTCTTCTTTCCTCTGACTCCTTGCTAGATTTAATATTCGACGAGATAGCTGTGGATCGCTGCCTAAATTGTTCACACTGTTGTCGGAAACGATCCCGGATGCCATTATCGATCAGAAGTTTTAGTGCATCGGCATTCAGACCCTCGCAGATCAGTAAAGCATCGCTCTTCCTAGAGGGGTGTCAATTGATGACCAAAGATGAGCCGGTGTGATACTCACAGGTAACTGCCCAATTGGACGCGAGTTATGGATTGGTTTCCCATTGGCTCCGCATTGAGCCTGCCGGGTTGAAATGCAACGGTCATGAACCCTTGGGTCGTCTCACCATGCATCAATTCAGGCTTCGGCTGTTCGACGTCCACTGTTGTATCTTGGTGAGGCTGGGGCATGGTTATATGCTTGGAGGTGGCCTATAGATGCGACTCTAAGTACTTAGCCAGTCATATCAATAAATCGGACTAACGTTGAATCCTTGGCGCGACTTTACGGCCTCCTCCTGCTCATTTGTTTTGGAGACTTCAAACGTGAACAGCCTACTGGACTCATCATGGTCTCCGTCGGGGTCCATGACGGCGTCTTCGCTTTCTTGGTCATTCCATACAATCGATTGAGCATGCTCCGAGGAAATGAGCGCTATGACCTGATCGCACATTTTCATGAGATATCTGGCATGTTTCGTTAGGGGCAGTGCCTAAACCATGAAAGACTTGACGAACCTCATGAAGGTCACGCGGTTGCGTCTCACAGACGAAGGAGCTGAGTCATCCCATGTCGAATCCTCTGGCCAGTAGATGAGGAAAAGCTGTTGGTCAGGTGTAGCCTCGCAGGCTGTACGAACAATGTACAGTCCAGAACGAAGACTCGGCATTGAAACACTTGAATCACGTTGGTTCGCAATCAGCTGTTTGGCGCTACATGGTTTTTTTTATCAAGGTGTCGATCTGCATACTGGCAATGATCTCACATTTGTTCGTCGACGACACCCAGAGATGACAGGAGTCGCACAATTTCACCCTTACTCCCGTACACGCCAACGGGCTTCACGATGAAGCGGTCTAGCGCGGTGAAGTTTACTTTCGTCATGGACACGTATGTGCCCGGACAAACACTGTTGATAAATGCACGAAGTGAATCTTGCGCTATAATAACCTTGTCCACTAGGAGCAAGATTAGCCAAGGTAAAGCTTTTCAAAGACAGTGAAGTCACCTAGCCCACCACTCCCTCGCTCACTGATCAAATCTAGAACCCTATACATCCCATCAATCGACTGAGCAAGGTCGCGAGCATCACTATGCGGAGAGGAATCTTCCACGTCCATCTGAATCAGAACGTGAGAACTCCAGCCCACATGATGATGACCGCAAGCCCAAAGAAAGTGAACCTACGAAGTCCTCTACAACATCGGATCTTACAGATTGATAGATGTCGTCATTATCCGAATCCTCAGACATCATGGTAGCGTCTGTCGAACCTGATTGATCACCTTCACCTTTCAACGCTGAGAGTACTTGTGATGCCAAGGGCTCATCATCCGAGTCATCGTCCATCTCGTCTATGGTGATCGATGGGGCAGATGCACGGGAATGAGAGCCCTGGGCAAAACGATTCAAACTTTTATCGCCGAGATCGACTGATCGATCTGTGCAGATGGTGAACGGTAGCTTCCCTGCGCATGGAATTCACCAACCGACTCCTTTCCCTTTGTCACGGTTTGTCTCCTGCTTGAAGGGTTGAGTGTCACTGGCGCTGACCGGGAACATTCCTGGTGGTTCATACGATCCGTACATGATGGTGGATGAATGTGAAGAACAAAGAACCTGGTATCGCCTCCTTTATAGTTGGCGGTGCCGCCAAGTGCCTTGGAGTCTAGGCTCAGTCAGCGCCTCAGCCACCGACCTACCCTAGCCTAGGATTCTGAGTCAGGGATTTACTAGTTTTAGCTCATTGTGATAATTTATAACGTGCCTTTGGAATATGATGATAAAGGTCAGCGAGTGCACACTGCACACGATATCATCGTAAACGTTTGGGCTACGGCGCTCGAGCTGGTCAACCTTGGGAATGATGGGGATAGCCAGCTTGAATTGTATTCAAGTTGGCGTTAATAGTTAAAGTTGGATTCTAACGTATCCGTTGGTGGCTGACCGTGCGAAATTTGTAGACTGCTCGCTACGATAAGTGCTACAAACTTGAACAGAACCCTTGAAGTTCCAACTACATTCTACAGCTACAAAAAACAACCATTATGGAGCGAATAACCGGTCGCTTCCATAGAACATAAGACCTTCAAAACACTGGACCGGCTTGAAGTTTGTTCATAAACCATAGCCCAAAGCTTCCGCGGAGTCGGCGCGGACGATCCGTCGGGCGCCAAAAACCGTATATCTTCCACTGTATTTCAAATGGTAATGATGCACGGGTATATCAGCCATCAATTATCAATCATATATTAATGGCGCGACCGTCGACGCACCGTTTCTTCGAACGTCGAGGGTATCAAACAACTCGTGCACTGTGCAGGCCCATGCTCAAAATCGAGATATTTTCGAGACGATGGATGTTAGGGACGTCAAGTTCTTCACCGATCTTGCAACCTGCGAAGTCGTCTACCGTGGCACATACAGATGTGGCATAACAAGTCTAGGTTGTACAAATTCTGGATTGAGTAGAGCATGTTTACAACACATAAGACGTCATACCTTCGGATCCCCTTCCTCAGAGACAGAAATCCCATTGTTCGTAAGGGCAGGAAAGATATGAGCCGCCTGAGTAACGCCTGCTTGAAGACCCCGGGCGCGAACGTTACGTGCGAAGTCATCATGCTGCTGGAAGGTCGTCAGATCGCAGATACCAGTGATCGAGCAGCGAGGGTTCTCACGAGCGATGACCTGACTGAAACAAGATACAGACCAGATGTCATGAGACGTGGAGTACTCGCTAAATTTTGCTTCTGCCGTTCTCTGATCAGTGGGGCTCTCAAGAACATGTCGCTGCCTGGGAGGAAGTCGAACGACAACCTGAAAGCATGGAGGGAGTGAGGGTCCAGCATTTGGCAAACTTGACTGTAATGCCGGAATGTCAGTTCACGCCGATGCGGCGACTATAATATGTAACTTCAACAGACGGACGAATTGATAGAAGTAACATCGGGCAAGTTCAAGAAGCTCAGTGTCGTCAGTTGGTAATGTCACTTGCGACGTTGTGGACGTTGTGACGACCAGCGTCATTTGGTGTATGGATTAACATACAACAGAGGAGCATAGCGCACACGAGCGCTGATAGTATGAACTGGTGCATGTGAGCTGCGAGGCGAGGCATCGGTTATATGCCGCGTCCGATGAAAGCTTGTCAGGAAGATTTGGAGGGAAGAGGTACACATTCAGACATGGCAGGGCAGCCGATTAGTCTCGTCGCTAGCTGTCTGACGAGGGGCTATTGAGATACCCCTTTCCTTTATTCAGTTCATCGCCTTCGATGACTCTCGCTTAGTCGGAAGAACTGCCATCAACTTGTTCTCTATCAATGTTGCCTAGCTTCCCAAAACACTTCGATATCTCAGAACTGAGAGGGCAGTCTTAAAAAGTCCCGAGCGACATCTCAAAAAGAATGCCCGCGACCTGGGCGCTTATCTTGCGCGGACCCCTATTTTCTATCGCGTAGACGTCAGAAACGATCATGATACAACGTTGGCAATGTAGTAGTGATACAGTACAATAGCCTCACAGTCCCATAGCCGTTAATCGCCTTGAAGAAGCTCCACCGCACGATCTTGCTCACGGCGCGACTTTGGCAGCTTCACCACTAGGTCTGCTTGTTGCCTGCAACTCAGATTAGAGCGTGAGCTGTACATCTCCCATAGACACTCACAAACGCATCCGCAACAGTAGCTTGCGGTTGGTGCTTTGTATCTCAGCAGCGGTCTTTATGGCACGCGCAAACAACTCAGCCCTGTGATCCACCTTCCTTGCTTTCAGGATCTGTAGCGTGAATGGTGTCAGTGATCTCCCTGTATCTATGCCAAGATATTTCATTGACCTTGTTCTGACTATCAACTCGGCCTTGAATCTGGCCACTTTGAATGAGGGCAACTACCTCCTTCTCAACCTCGTCAACGGTCCAGCCGAATGCGGCGCTCATTCTGTCGAGGCGAATGGTCTGGAATGGCTGGAAGTAAAGCACAACCGCGACATTACGAATGAGGTTTGTCAGGTCATATACATGTGAGTACATATGAATGTCCACGTAATGACGTGTCTGGTGCAAGAAAGACAACTTAGGGTTATAGATATTGATAGATATGAAAGACATACCGAGTACCGCTCAAGAAGCTCCAAAACGTTTTTAAAATCACTTGAGAGATATGACTGGATCAAGTCTCGAACGTATGGTTCTTGCTCGATATACGCAGAAAAAATAGCATTTCCCGTAAGTTGAGACTTGATTGCAGATCGTGACATGCTGGCAAGAGCGCATAGAGTCCCATATATAGCAAAGTCACCAGGGGCGACAAGCTGGAAGGGACATAAGCAAAAGTTGACTGAAAAGAGAATTACGCCTGCCTTGCCAATCCAATCGCCAAGAGAATCCGGAAGGCCAATCCTCAGGAAGAATTGGGCAGCTTTCTCGTAGTTGGCTTGCCCTAGGTGGAACAAAGCCATCGCAAAATCCAGTTTGGATTGTACCTGGTCACGCTCTGCCGACTTTTTAGGTGGCGCGGCAGCCGAATTATTGTTGGAACCAGCAGCAGCGTTGGATGCTGCTGCTGCGCTTGCCGTATCAAGTGCGCCCTCCGCCTTAAAGACGTAGGAAGATATGTGTGCGTAATTGCGTTGCTCGATCACAAGCTATAGGAGGCATTAATGAACGAACATAAATACCAATTAACTAGAACATACCTCTAGCACAGAAAGACACATGTCAAGAACATGTTGACTAGTCGAGCAGAACTCCCTTGATTTCGTATAATGTTTGAGTGCTTGGGTATAGTCTCCAGTGGCGCGGTAGAAGTCGCCGAGATCTCTGTGTCCCATCTGATGGATAGGTGATAATTAGAGTGTCCGAAAGAATCAAGATGCTGGTCGTACCCTTATGCTCTCTTTAATCATGTTGTTAGAATACGTCTTCAGTTCAACCTCTAGCTTCGTTCTCTCCCCTTGATTCTTTTTCGCAACCTCTTCACACCACACTGTGTTCACTGAGCACAACTCGCTGGTGGAAGGTAGTTGCACCTCTGGCAGGTCCGCCACAGCATCATATGCATTCATCACATTCTGATAAAGGGTTGGATCACGAAGCTCCTCGATCTGCGCGAACGCCAGCTTCAACGCCTGTGGTGCCAAAGTCGGACATGTTGAGATAATATGCACAAGCCTGTCAAATGCAGTTCGACCTTGAAGAGTGGGAAGCCTCGATCTAAGCAATAGTGAATCAAGGGGGGTGTTTTATATCATACCAGAGTATCCCGAGATGTATGCGTCTAGATCGAAGGGGTGGGCATCGTCCACTGGTCGAATTCGTCTCCTCTGGACTGCAGGAGGTTGCAATAGGGAGATATCGTTCTCAATATAATCAATTTCCATCCCGAAGACGCTTGGGTAGAAAAGGGAGGTGGTCGAGTGTCACTGTCTGTTACGCTGCAATGATCCAACTTCAGTAGTGTTGGATATGTCAGTTTGCCATCGCAGGGCCCTTGGCACAGTTGGTAGCGCGTACGCTTCGCAACCGTGAATTGCGTAAGGTCGTGGGTTCAACTCCCACAGTGTCCACTGTTTTTTTTTTTCATAAAATTCGATCACTGGCCAAATTTTCTCCCAGCATACAAGATCTGAACATGTAGACCAACCAGTTTATTTACATGCTCAATGAACGATGTATTGAAGAATCAAAAGTGAACATCCATGCATTTTTTTGAAGACACGATTTTGCCCCATGCCCGTTCACAGGCTTTAGTAAACTACAGTCGAGGATGATCTTCTCTCTTCACACCATGCCAATGATACTCTTGACCCTCAGGTTCCGTCCATGCCTTCAGGAAGTGTTCTATGGCTGAGCAATCTCGACATATCTGAGATCTTCAATTGCCCCGCAGTCAGTTATCAAATCAAAGACCGCTTGAAGGCAGATTTGCTTCTTAATACTTCGACAACCCAGCCAGCTGCTCCTTCGAATGCGTTTGTGAGTGTCCATAGGACTTGCGCAGCCAACGATCGGCCCTCTGCCTACCTGCATGTACCTCACTACTTGCTCGCACGAGCCGCGCCCGCAGTGGTGGAAGACACGAGTTGAGCGGCAGTAGTTCTAAATCTCACAAAACTGACTGCAAATGGTAGAGGTGTCGCGTAATGAGATGCGCACGCACAGTGCGTCCCGTCAACACTTGAGGGTCGGTGACATGGAAAAGTAGTATTAACTACTCAAATCTTTTCCAGGCGTGCTTCTCAAATTCCTTCAGCTTCGCTCTCCTGGTCGGGCTACAGGGCAAAAGACATCAAAAGACTGCGCTAAGACCTATCGCGAATACTCACAGGACAGGTACGCGAGGCTCAATAAGGGCTCGTTGTTGCATGCTTCGGAAACGATCACGGAATAAGTTGCCTTCGGGCTGATGGCAGTCTATCAGCGATGTCGATAAAACTGGCGCAGTCAACACACCTTCAGGGTTCGGAGGTTTTCGCTCAGATCCTCCCCAATCTGAACCTCGATTTCATTTTCAGGAACTTTATATTTTCCTAGCCGTTGGCCAGCTAAGCCCTTTCTGAGCTTCATCTTCAGCGCCAGCTGTCTTGCCAATCGCGCTTGATTTTGCTGTTGGCTAACTTTCTCCACAGTTGAGCGGAGAGATTTGACCAAGAATATCGTGGCAAGCATCTTTTTTCTTGCCGCTTTCTCTGCCAATGCTTGTTTCTAGTGCAAGCTCAGCGGCGATAGTAAGGAAGCGACAAAAGGCTTACCTCCTCGCGCAATCGCACCGCTTTGGCTCGTTGCTGTTTAGTTTTACGTGCTGATGGTTTCTTGGGTACAATTGCATCTTCCTGTACGACTGGTTCGCCGTCGTCTAGGGGTATCTCGTCCAGCGTCATTCCAAGTGGAAGGCCTTCCGTGACATTTGTAACAAGTGCGCGTGCATCGGCAACCTTGCGTCGAATCTCGGCTAATCGATCCGCCTCTTCTTGTCTACGTCGCTCTACCTTGCATGCCTCCATAATAAGTTCATCGTGTGCAGCGGCAGGAGGATTGTATGATGATCCTTGATGTGGTTCCAATACAGCAGGAACTTCTATGACATCGCGGGGGTGAGATAAATCTGGACGCTGTGAATATCGTCAGCAAATCCGTGATGGCGGGGAAAAGAAGATATACCTTGATCTTAGGTTTCTTCGTATGCTCTAATCCATCAGCCAGCTCTTCCATCTCCTCGGCAATCCATGGATCATAGGAGCCACTGTGTTTCACAGCAGCACTAACATCAATTAAAGCACTCCCCGCACCGAACTCTGTGTGGTCCATGACCGCATTGAATGGACCCTTCCTGGGCCGCTTTGCGATGCGAAGAAGGCGTTCCTTGTCAGCCCTGCTGACTTTTGATCGTGATGATGCGGAATCTTTTGTTGGGCGAGAAAACACGGCAGGAATGGCAGATCGTTGAGAAAGTATCTTCGTGGAAGTCAACTCGGCCTTAGAGTACCGCGGCAACGACTTGCGGACTAAACGATTTCATACTCTTTACTTAAAAATCTCTTGCAAGAACTTACCTCTATCATCTCCTTTGGTGTCCACAACGAATAATTGATCGTCTGTCTGTTTCTGTAGTGTGGAACTGTCAAATTCGATACACACCATTAGATGATAGGCACAAGCAAGGCAAGGATTTTCCACACCCGATAACTCGCTCCTCTGAGCGCAGACTCTCTAGACCCTGTTCCACTGGCTGTATGTCAATGTTTTTTCGCCATGCCTTTTTGCCCTTACGGCTCGATTGAGCTAGTTGGGAGGGTGCTCCAACACCAGGCGCGGCATTTTTCCGGATAGAAGATTTTGAAGCTGGAGAGACCTTGCTGGTTTTCGTTGGAGCCATTGGGTAGCGGCAGCCTCCTTGACCTGTTGTCCTAGTGAGTTCTGATGAAGTTCTTGCAGTCACGCATCACACCCATATTTGTCACGTCTGCCAATCGTGTCACATTCAATGGCAGAATTCAAAGTTGTCTACCAAATACACGATATATATCAGTTGTACTACGTACAGTACACGTCTTCCGACCACGATTCGTATTTGTCCATGGTTTCTGTGAGACTAGTTGCCTTAGCTCTCCCTCCTCGGACTGCAACCCTGTGCAATGGAAGTCTCATTGGTGCTTCATCCAGGTGAGTAAGCTTCTCCATAACCACCACCGCCTTATCAGGGTCTCCGTCCACTACATTTGTAGCAGCCCACTCGCGGAATTTTGAACCGGGTAAATCTGGGTTGGCATAAGCTGGATGCTGCACGCTGGATTGCATTGCGTCGTCCCTGAACGACCTCGTCCGGAATGGACCTGGCTCGATTATGGTAATCTGCCAGGCATCAGCCTAAGTTTCTCATTGATAATAGACTGGTTCAACCTGTATGTTCCATGCCGGGTCCAGTTCCTGTGCGACACTTTCGCTGAATCCTTCTAACGCTGGACATCTGGGCTGAGATACTTCATGGTCTTAGACAACATGCTCACCATGTTTACTGTTGTTCAAAGCCGTTGGGTAAGTATTGAACTCGCACATGGATATGCTCACTCACGATGCGGCATAATAAGACATTGCAGGTCTCCCGATCAAACCCAGAGTAGAAGAAACCTGCAACAACCTTCCCCCGATTGGTTTGTTCGCCTCCCTGAACGTCCGGATGCCCTTGTCACGTTTGACGCGCCCCAAAAGTTCACTTCGAAGGTCTTGCGGGCCTCGTCGTCTCTCATGGACTCCATCTCTCCGATAATAGCTATACCTGCATTATTGAAAACTACATCGACACGTCCGAACACCTCTTTGGCTTTTACGAATGCGGCAGCCACCTCCGAACTCTTTACGACATCCATCTGGATGATCAGCAACTGGGAGGAGGGATATTGTTCGGCGAGACCGGACAAGACTTCTGTGCGGCGTAGAGTTGCAACCACCCTATTTCCGTTCTTCAATAGGAGTTCTGTCATGGACCGGCCAAATCCTGTGGACGATCCAGTGACTTGTATTGCCTCGTGAAGTCTTATTTCTCTATCAGAAAATATCGCAAGCTTACCTAGCCAGACCTTTGATTCTGCCATGATGGCAAGTATGAGGGACGCAAGCCACGATTGGCTCTTTCAAACAATGAGACTATTATAGAAGAAACAAGTGTCTTCCTTCTATGTGGTCTGACTGAAGACTATCAGAATGTGGCTGCCGATCATGACATGGTCTCTCGATCAGCGCCATTGCGTGCGATTACTCAGCTCTCAGTCAGCATAGCAACCGTTCACCTCTCCCTCCAATGTCCATACGTGGACCAGCCAGGTCTGCACACGAGAAGGAAGGAGAAGGACCAGCCTTGGTAATCATGAATCAGGTACCCAAGCTTTTATGTACTGTATCCGAGACGGTGGATGGTACTACAAGGACTGAGACCACATCATAGTACTGACGTTGTGCTATGGCACATTGTGGCATGACACAGTGTTCTAGGGATTCTACCAGAAGTGACCCTTCTACAGCACCCGAGGTATATCAACACTTGACAAGGTGGCAAGATACCGGTGGTACTATTAGCCCATTTCGTGTTTCACCGCATTGGGATCTCGGGCCAGCAATCAGCGCTTAACACCTTTGCTTCAGGTCTCGGAGGGAATGCGCACGTTAACCAACACGGATTATGGCCACTGCTCGAAGAGCCTGTGATCGACAAATGCTCCCCGGAGTTTCTGGCTCGCCGTAGATCTGCGCGTAAACACCATGCGCATGCGGACTACTTAGTAGTCATTGCCTAAATCCCAACGTACACGTTTTTCTGGCTTCTAGGATGCCGCGCTTATTTTGATGTGACAGAAAGGCTACGATTTGGCCACGATCCTGGAACGTTATGCCAGCGACAACAAGGGGGACGTATTAATGGTGCTTGACTGGTGCGCCGAGCCACGGTCTACCGATCAACATTCCATTGCTTCGGATATCAGTGGCACTGTTTGTGGTTAACGAGCAGTAAACGGTCGGAAATATGCCATCATCGACGAGCGTTAACGGACTGGTCATGAACTCAGGGTCACATTATACATATGCGAACTAGCTTCGGATACGATGGAATCTGATAGTCGCCCTTTCCTGAGTGCCTGTAGTTTCGACTTGGAACGATGATATTGAGGTAGGTGCGTCGTCGTGTGTAATCCGTGTTCAGAGCACAAAAACCCATGGAGATTCAAAGCCTACAAGTCAGCTATACTACGTGAAGTAGACATTTTCCGTCCATGATTCGTACGTGTCCATAGTGTCGGTAAGATTCTTCGCTTTATCTCTCACCGCTTTAACTGTACCCCTGTGCAGCGGAAGTCTCAGCGGCGGCTCATCCAGGTGAGTAACCTTCTCAATGACTACCACCGCCTTCTCAGTGTCTCCGTCCGCTACAGCTGAAGCCAGCCACTTGCGGAATTTCGAGCCGCCCAACTCTGGATTGGCATATGCTGGATGTTGAGGACTAGGTTGCATGCTGTCCTCAAACATTCTCGTCCGGAATGGACCTGGCTCAAGTATGGTAACCTGTCGGGGGCTTTAACTTCAGTTTCGTTCTGAGATTGGAGTGGCTAACCTTAATATTCCACGCCGGGTCCAGTTCTTGTGCGATGCTTTCGCTGAATCCTTCTAATGCTAAAATACGGTATGAGCCCATGATACTACTATGACGTGAGACAGATAAGCTCACCATGTTTACTGTTATCCAAGTCGTTGTGAGCATTGAAATAAAGCGTGGGTATATTCACTCACGATGCAGAATAATAAGACATTGCAGGTCTCCCGACCAAACCTAGGGTGGAAGAAACCTGCAACAACCTTCCCCCGGTTGGTTTGTTCACTTCCCTGAAAGTCCGAATCGCCTCCCTCGTCACGTTTGATACACCCCAAAAGTTCACTTCGAACATCTGGCGAGCGTCTTGGTCGCTCATGGACTCCACCTCCCCGACGATAGATGTGCCCGCATTATTGAACACAACATCGACACCTCCGAACACCTCTTTGGCTTTTGCGAATGCAGTGGTTACCTCGGAGCTCTTTACGACATCCATCTGGACGATCAGCAACTGGGAGGAAGGATACTGTTTGGCGAGATCTGACAAGGCTTCTATGCGGCGTAGAGTTGCTACCACTTTATTTCCGTTCTTCAACAGGAATTCTGTCATGGAGCGACCAAATCCTGAGGACGATCCAGTAACTTGTATTCATTTGTAAAGTCACACCCCTACATGATCAAATGTCGAGAACTTACCTAGCCAGACTTTTGATTCTGCCATGATGGTAAGTATCAGGGGATGCAAGCGACGAACGACTGGTTCTCTCAAGTATCAGACTGTTGTCTTTATATCACGACTTGTGGTCTGAATCAGCGCGTTTACATGTTCATTGATTACTCAGTGGTCAGTCAGCAAGACTCCTTTGCTTTGTGAGATGGTATCATGGCGGCGAACTTATAATTAGTACGTGTAACGTCCCGCCACGTTCACTCACGACTTAATTCGAAGGAAATGAGGGTGGTGATCAAGTGATCATGATGTATTGTTCTTCCTTGGAGTTCCTTCACAGCATGGGGGTGTCGATTCAGAGGTCCCGAACAAATGGCTATAGCCCAGACCCCTGGCACTGCTTGCCCTGTTTCAAGTTGAACTGTGTTCTGCACCTCTATCCAAATCCGCAAACCCCTTGGTGCTCTACCTCCCCGCATTTCTTTTATGCTCCCTACAACAGCGAAAGCTGGCAAGTATGATGAAACCTCTCAGTTCCATCCACTGGACCGACGGCCTCATGGCTAGCACTGGTATCTCCGGAAGTTCCACTCAGAAGGAGATCCTGATACAGAAGGAACGACCTGGAACGACTTTCTTTCCTTCCATCAGGGTCTGCCTACGGGACACTGGAAGGAGATAGACTCGTCGGCGGACATGAGATCAATATTCAATGACGCCAAGTGATAACATGCGGACGTCATAATGGCGCATTAATGTACCATGTGCGCAAGGCATAGTATGTAATTAAATCATGGATGCAGCGCTGATTCGGTATCACACAGTCAAATTTTATTATACCACAACCACCTTTCGGTCGTTCACACCTGAGATTGCCCATCAGTGAGTTGTCTATTTCCGCCTCATTCGAAGGCCTTGAGCGTTTGCTTTTCCACTGAATCACAGCTGACCACGTACAACTACGTGTCTGATTCACGGCTCATGCAAACCAGGTTCGCCTTGCATGCTTAACCCTAGTCGCACCATCCCTCATACACCTTCCTATCACACTTGAGGGTATGACACAGATGGTGCTTGCCGGGCGGGTCATGGGTCGGGTGTTATGGGTGCCTACGGCTGGTTCACCCGCACGGTCGTGGGTCTTGGAGATCTCTCGGGCAAGAATATATCGCATTGGCGTTCTGTATCTTGCCACATTCCCGATTGAGTCCAATGGCGTCCAAATTAATTATTACACCTCAGATGTACTACGTAAAGTAGACATCTTCCGACCATGATTCGTATCTGTCCATGGTTTCGATGAGACTTTTTGCCTTCTCTCTCACCGCTCCGATTGCAAGTTTGTGCAACGGAAGTCTCAGCGGTGGTTCATCCAGGTGAGTAAGCTTCTCGATGACTACCACTGCCTTTTCAGTATCTCCGTCTGCCAGAGTTGAAGTCATATGATGGCGGAATTTAGAACCAGGTAGCTCTGGATCTGCATATGCTGGATGTTGAGGAAGAATCTGCATGTTTTCCTTGGATATCGCTGTTCGGAATGGACCTGGCTCGATCATGGTAACCTACAAAGGCGTTAGTGTGAGTCTTACATCGAGGTTAGATTGGCTAAACCTGTATGTTCCATGCTGGGTCTAGTTCTTGTGCGATACTTTCGCTCAACCCTTCCAGTGCTGGAAATCCGGGTTGAGATACTGCTATGGTCTGAGACAAACACGCTCACCATGTTTACTGTTGTCAGAAGTAATTGTGGGTGAGTATCGAAATCACGAATGGCCATATTTACTCACGATGCGGCATAGTAGGATGCGGCAGCTCCTCCAAACAAGCCCAGTGCCGAAGAATTCTGCAATAGTCTTCCCCCGATCGGTTTGTTCACTTCCCTGAACATTCGAAGCGCCTCCCTTGTGACATTTGATGCGCCCCAAAAGTTCACTTCGAAGATCTGGCGAGCGTCTTGTTCGCTCGTGGACTCCATCTCCCCGATGATAGCCGTACCGGCATTGTTGAAAACAACATCAACACGTCCGAACACCTCTTTGGCTTTTGCGAATGCAGCAGACACCTCCGAGCTCTTTACAACATCCGTCTGGACGATCAGCAACTGGGAGGAAGGATACTGTTCGGCGAGATCGGACAGGACTTCTTTGCGGCGAAGAGTTGCGACCACTCTATTTCCGTTCTTCAACAGGAGCTCTGTCATGGAGCGACCGAATCCCGAGGACGATCCAGTAACTTGTATTGCTTCGTCATTTCTCGTAGCTCTGTGAGCAGAACCCGAGAACTTACCTAACCACACCTTTGATTCTGCCATGATTGGGCTCTTAATGAGATGCAATTCTGCAGGGGATCAGATTTGGCTTTATATCTCTCGAGCGCTATTATTACAGACAATTATTCAGCGCTCAGCTCTCAGTCAGCATGACACTTTTCTACTGTGTTATGATCTCACTAATAAATTGGCTTTTCTGGCAATGCTTACCGTGACTGCGCAATTTTGTCAAAATGATGCGTGTCGTCGCAGCCCAAACCTGCTCAGCCAGTTAGTTGTATGTAAATACGGACTTGAACGCAACATTCCACCATATGTGCATATGTACATTTCTTAAATTCTGTTCGTATATCAGCTAGCGGCTGTATCATATGTGCGTGTCAGAAGAGGAAGTTGTCAGGTGAAAAAGGGACCAGTTACGTACTTACGGTACACGTACCAGAACGCTGAAGCGCCGTTAGAGTCTTCTTCATGTTTGCCTCCATCTTACCTTGAACATAATCTACGCGCTCGATTGTCAGGGATTCAACTATGCGGTCCATCGATAAAGGTGATGCACAGGGAACAAGATGGCGCGGCTGGATATTTCTTGTCTGTGTCTTCCTCTTTTTCATGCAAGCTGGCCTCTTTGCCGGCCACAAAGATCACACTTCTCCACAAGACTCAAGTTCACGAGCAAACTGGTTCTCGACTTCTTCCAAGTGGCTCCCTTTTGTCAAGCATGAGAAATCATACACCGCCCTCACCGAACACCCCATACCGAAGTTGATGGCGGACGCGGAGGAGAAGTTTAAGAACTTGCTTTCGAGGCAAAGCAAGACTCTTGAAGATGCTGTGGGTGAATACAGGAAACGATACGGGCGCGAGCCTCCCAGAGGGTTCGGAGATTGGTGGCTGTTCACGCAGGAACACAACGTGAGACTGGTAGACGAGTTTGATGCCATTGACGAAGACCTGGCCCCGTTCTGGAGTCTGTCGGGCGTGGAGTTTCGAAGGAGGACTGTCCAAGTGAGTCTGATCTCCCTCCCACTACCGTACCATGACGTATTTTGCAGGTTAGCGATCTTCCGTCTATCGATCTGATTCGTATCGTAAATGGCAAGGTTGAAGGGGCCTCCATTGACAGGTCGGATAGCGAGGGAGGCCGTAGAGCATTGGGATTTATGTCTTTGTTCCATAAATTTGAAGACAAGGTGTGTATGCAAAGCCCCTCCGCCCATTCATTCTGTTCATGAAGGTATGTATAGCTCCCCAACATGTACCTCGCCATCAACTCGAAGGCAGAGGGCAGGATCTTGGTACCTTGGGAACACCGCCAATTTCCTAACATGACGGTACAAGATTCATCAGGTCTGCTATGACATTAGTACGTGTGTAGTCATGCATTAACTGTGCTTTAGGTGGAATAACCTCTATGGTTGGGGCTGACTTCACTTCCGATTGGAGGGGGGAAGGAAGTGTTTGGGCAGCTTATCGCCGAACGTGTCCTGCTGACACTGAAGCCCGTCGCCTCTATACTTCATACCGCAATCCCAATGCTGTCAATTCAAAAGTTTTCCTCGGTCCCGCTCAAGGTCCTGGAGACGAGTTCACCTTTGTGCCAAGCGTCGAAGATTCCATTGATTATTGTTCGTATCCTTGGGCCCATTACTCCCAGGGCAACTTTTTCTCGGACTGGCGCACGATACCCGTCCTTTACCCTGTTTTATCACCCGCAAAGACCGCAGGATTCTTGGATATCAGGATTCCGAGTCACTATTATTTCGGACAACATCCCAGGTACACCTACGGATTCAATGCTACCGCTGATGAACCCAATGAGGTCGATGACTTGGAGGTTCCATGGGAAGAAAAGTTAGATTTCATTTTCTGGCGGGGTGCGGACACTGGTGGTGGTAGCACTCCCCCAGGCTTTGCGTCGCATTACCAAAGACACAGGTAATTTGTTCCTGTTCTTGCTGCCCTATTACACGATTTTCATCTTCCATGACAGATTTCTTCACATGACACACGAAAGCGCAGCAGGAAATCAAACGATTGTCCATGCTGACCCGTCAAACCCCAACAACTTCATTACCACTACCGTGTCTACGAAACAGCTAAATGCCGAGATAATGGATGCTGCATTTGTTTCGACGACTGGTGGGTATCCTGGTGGGGAGGAAGCACTTAGAAAAAGCCACCGCTTCGCACCACCTGTGCCCCTCGGTCAGCACTGGATGTACAAATATCTCATTGATCTTGATGGTATGGGCTACTCGGGCCGTTTCTTGGCACTTTTATCTAGTGAAAGTGCGGTCATAAAGAGTACTGTGTGGCGGGAGTACCTCACAGATTGGTTGCAGCCATGGTGTGTTTTATAATTGGCACTCGAATGCAGGGCTGAATGGCAAGCAAGGCTACACTATATACCTCTATCCTCGTCTTACGCCGAGATATACAACATCCACGCGTATTTCTCAGGACCGACGCCCTCAACTTTGGAAGCTTCCAACTTGACCACAGAGCACATGATAAAGTCACTTGAGGGCGACCAGCATTTACAGCGTATCGCACGTGCGGGCCGACAGTGGAGGAAGACAATTGGGAGGACTATCGATATGGAAGGTGCGTTCTAGCTTTTCGGGCATGTATTTGCAAAGCGGCTGACTTATTGGTTTGGTAATAGCATACGTCTATAGACTATGTTTGGAGTATGCGAGACTCTGGGCCGATGATCGGGATACGATGAATTTTGTGTTGTAACATAGAGATAGGCCTGCGCACTGCGGCAAAGCCTACTGTGTCTTGATATTTGATCTCACTTCATTTGGACTTCATATCAGCTTTCGTGGAGTACTGGGCCATCAGTAGTTGTTCATATAACTTACGCCTTTGAAGGCGCAAAAGAGTTGCAGTATATGTCGGATTTGCGGCCGTTAACTGTAGCTAGAATGCGCACGGGAGCCATAATTTGACTTGATGATCGCCGATTTAACGACAAGCACGGAAGACCGTACATCAGAATCGTCTTAGAAAAAGACATGGATAACAGATTCCGGGCGCAAATTATCCACTTGTACGTTGTCACGCATATCAGAAGAAAACGGAACTTGGATTGCAGTGGGCTTCTGCGGTGCATATCGACTGTAGTGGGGTCTTGGGTATAAGAGAAGCTTCATTGGTACTTATGACGCCTCTGAAGGGCACAAGAGATACGGTGTATCGGACTCATGGCCGTTAGCTGTAGGCACGCGTGCGGTGGCCAGTGATGCGGAACATTATCATCGTGGTGGAAAGACGTCGCCAACAGATTCCAAGTGTATGAACGAAGAGGAAGCCGGAACTTGGAAGCGAAATCCAGATGGCCAACTGCCATTGCAGTGTTATCAGGCCATGTGAATTATTCGGAGCACGCAAAACACGAGGACGACACTAGTACTGGCAGTGCGAAAGACCCTCTGCCAACGGTTGTGCGCCAGAGGAGGCCACTGAAGAAGTTCCGGATCAAGAGATTGTGAGTGACGTAAGGTGGTACTGATAAGTACTGAGCATCGGGAACATCCGGGGTTGCTGTGACTTAGAGCGCTCTAGTTGGTTAGTCCCATTTATGTTATCACATTTCATTGTGCTATCAAAGGATTCTTTGTCGTGCCTCGTTTTCGCTTGAAAGTTGACGGCCATACTGCCACCAACAAGTGGCGTATTAAGCGACGTTTTTTGTTTGGCAAAGGCTTTAGAAATAAACAGAGCCAAAGGGTCATCAACGACACGCGTTATCGCACGAAACACATACCACGGACGCAGCCTGATCACGGTCGCCATCATCTTCTCTCACATCGGATCTTTGATCTGGACGCGAGGCCTCTTGATACTGATAAGCACGACCAAACATCCCCTGAGGGTCACTAGTCACGATATCGAGAAAGGAGAGCTGGCAGGAACCCCGCGGGCTGAACCCGAATTGAAATACGATACAAGATCTTGGAGCCATTCGTGGAACTGCACATGACCTATGTCCGGCTGCGCCAGGCTACCGCGAATGCCTAGCACCGCCGTCCTTCGAGGAGATGTCAGTTTCGGGCGTATCATTGTCTTGCACACAAAAATAGAGTGGTCCTTCTTCATCCAAATCAGGCTGCCTGGTCATAGGAAGAAGAGATGTGAGATATATAGATAAGGCGACCCTGACGAACAACATAACTTGGTCAATAATGCGGAGTACAGGAATCAAACGGAGCCATCTGGGTTAAGACAAAACTCGTGGAGACGATGGCCAGGATTCTTTAAATTGAGGATCACCGGTTGAATCGCCCATGATGATCTCGGTGATTCCTCCTGCCAATCGAGACATCGGTCCACGATCAGTTCTCGGTGTCTGACGATGAGTGCGTACATGGTCTGATTGGTCACGGGGACCCCCGTTGGTTACATTGAGGACGGGCGAAGGTATTCTGGAGACAGTCGGCTGGCTCACATATTGCTGATTTGGTATGTATCTCCATCTGTTCCTGAGTGTGTCGCTGAGTAGGCCGTCCTTGGATGTTTCAGTTGGACGATTCAGGTGCAGGCTGGTTATACTGGGTGGTGGACCCCTCGATCGTTCATCCATATTGGTCTTCCCTTCCCGATGGCGGCTGGACCTTGGTGTCTGCGGTGGACATGCCACAGTTCCTTGTGGCTGCGTTCATCGCCATAATCTTCTGTCCACCACGCGAGTTGCCTGAGCCGATCGTGACTTATCTGATGGCGGTGTGTGAAGAGTGGAAGGCGGCCTTGTGCTTCGCCTAACCACATTCCTTCCAATGCTCTGTGGATGTCGTTTTGATACGTGCCAATCGTGCAGTAATACACAGGTGCGCCGTAGACGCCTTGCTGACGGGCCTCGTGTTCACATCTTACTAGGTTTGTTCAAGATGCTGACGGTGACCGAGCTTATCGCTCAACTGTAGCTGCAGACATATTAGTGTCTAGTCCCTAGGTAGCGTGAAGCAATATGTTTTTTTGTTGGACAAAGTGCAAACGGCAAAGCATGGCATGGTTTGGACTTGGTGGCGGTACCACTTGCCCCATCGGCGTCCCGCCCGAATCACGTGCACTTCATAAGAAGCGCTGAAATGAAATGTTTTGATTCAAACAATCGCGGATGACCGGGAGTGGAGGTTTTCTGCAATTCTGCTATACAAAGGATTAATCTTGGTATGTTAGGCATGCACGTGTCAGCTGATTGTTGACTTCTAGGAGTCACTGGCAATCAACCGAAATATCAGTGCTTTGTTTTCAGAGACAAAAGGTGTTTGTACGTATAAAGTCTTGTTACTTTTCACTCTAAACATTGCCATGCTGACGCCGCGTTGTACTCAGTCTTGCAGGCGGTTTCAAATCAGACGTCTAGTTCTTGAACTTTATTCAATTGTCAGGACCGCTATAGACGTTCTTCCAAGATGAGATCAGGAACACGTTCGCCCAACCCCGGCTTGGAATTGCTAGCGGGTTGGCCAAATTTTACCAAAGATATCTTGCTGTACCTCCAACCCCATCTTGTCTACGATGGATCAAACACGTTGTGGGCGCGTGATTGGCTCGATGTCATCGTTGCCCACTGGATCTCGGCACGCCAGATGTGGCTCTTTTTGGCCACTCAGTGTTCCCGGCTGGTAAATAGAGGCCTTTCCAGTTCCACAGATCCTCACTCTTTTCCTTAACCACTAGCGATATCTCTACCATTACAATGCATCCACGATCAGCACTGGGCTCTCCCACACCATCTGCTGCGAGTCGCCTCTCAGACAGCAGCCGTTCGGATAGTAGTCGTCAATTTGCGCGGAAAGGAGGTGCAGCAGAATTCGAGATCGAGAGACCCCTCAAAATGTCCACCTCATCTCCAAAGCGACCAGGCGTTCGTCGTCGTCAGTCTGAATATGGCGCGGAAAGTGCTCTTCGTGCGAGCGTGTCACGTTTACTCACCGCCAAAGCCCGTCCGTTCACCGTCACCGGTCACATCCCAATGGACCCGGCATCCTTGGTGCTATTCTTCCGTTCGAAGGTGAGCTGTTCGTGGCATCGATGAACAGTCGTTATCTGAATCTGAGTCCGATTTACAGAGTGGTATCACACACTCGCTTGATTTCCCCATCAACATCGATTACGACACACCTCCGGCTCTCGAAGTACTACTCGCTGCATGTAAACCCCATCCGACACCTGGATATGATGTATACCCTGATCGCGAAACCCTCTTCTACCCCGGAAACCTTCCCTTGACTGCCACTCTCGAAATCGCCAACCATCCCATCCTCGATGCGGTGCGTAACGCACTGTTCCCGGCATTACCCATGGGACATTACCTCACTGCCCTGAGAGATAAGCTAGAGGTGATGGCAACAGGAGCGCGTATGGCTCCCCAGCCTCGTACATTACGCAACGATGGTAGAGTTGCTACGATATGTGTTACTTTGCCTGTCCACCATCGCGGGGGAAATATGATCGTCCGAGATGCAGAAGGGACAGAAGAGAAGTTCTTCGGAGGTGGAGGCAAACCTTCGGAGGTCCACTGGACTGCGTTCCTTGGGGAATGCGAGTACGAAGTCGAGACCATCCAGCAAGGATGCCGGATGAGCTTCACGTACGCGGTGCATCTGAAGACATACGGGGCAGCAGTCGATCCCCTGATCACACCGAGCGAATACTTCCTTGATCTTCTTTCCCCAGTTCTCAGCCTTTCTCGCGGACGCAAAGTAGCATTCTATTTGACACAGGATTACGGTGTCAACCCTTCGGAGGGCCTGGCCGAGTCTTTGGTTCCTCATGTGAGTCTCAGGTGACTGCGGTCAGGACGTTACTGACGTCAGACGATCAGCTTAAGGGCAGTGATTCTCTATTATACCATGCCCTGAAGGTGTACAAGCTTGCGCCAGAGCTGCATTGGGCAGCAGGGGGATATGTCTGGCCTATCGATCGGACCGTAGAATGCGGAAACGATGTTCTGGATTCGCCAACAAGCTTATCATCGATGGGCTTCCCCAGCGCTTTTGGATCACCTGCTCGTTCAGCAAAATCCGTCCGTGGTCCGATGAGCTACTACGGTGGGCCGGAAGAAGATGACGTGGAGATAATGAAAATCGAAGCTGACAACCTGAGGATGAGGGTTGAGGAGAGCGGTGCTATCCCTCTTTCCGAAGCGGAAATATTCATCCTTTCTGATTGGGTTCCCGGTCCGCTTGCGAAGGAGAGGGTGCACTTTGTATCGAACGGGGAACTTGAGAAGCTGATTGTTAATGTCCTCCTCGTTATTTATGTTCCTTGAGGCTGGATGGAGGGTACGAAGGACGTAATCTTGTAATCATCTAATAATTGGCTGCTGGAACGGCCGCGATGGAGCTCAGTCTGGACATTTATTAGTACTTGTACTTGTACTATTTACTGCCTGCAAGTAATGACATATCTGATGAACACGCCGACTTAATTTTTCTCGGGACATGTTCGGCACAACGACATATTGGAACTCCGCTCGAATCGTGTAATACTCGCGATTTCGTTGGTCGCTGTGTATAACGACGAGCACCGATATTCCCCGCTTTTTTAACCGACAACGCTCGTCCGTGCGAGCGACCTGCACTTGTTCGGTTTTCTTTGCATATTTCTTGGTCCTCCAGATAATACCTTAATGTTACGCTTGGTCTCGCGGCCCACTTCGACGGGGCGACTCGGGAAGGTCGTTTGCTCTGGTGCTTCACATGGAGGTGCGCCTGCCATATTCTCTGTGTCATCCTGAGTGTTCATGTTTTGTAGGCCGCAGGTCAATAGCATCCACATCCGCACGTCAAGCTGACATCACTCTTACTGTTGACGGGAAGGAGGTAACGGTTCCGCAAGGTACATATCTTTATGCTGTTCGCGTGTCGCGTTTATCAGAGTTTATTATCGCGCAGGGTCCGCGTTGATTCAAGCTTGTGAGGCTGCCGGTGCTACAATCCCTCGGTGCGTCTTTTCTATCTCTCCGTGCTACCCCGGTAGTTGCTCACTAACTCCCTCTGCAGGTTTTGCTACCATGACAGGTTCGTCAGGATGCGTATTCTTCCTTGATAGAATGTAGAGGCTGAAAGTCACCCTTCAGACTCGCGATTGCTGGTAACTGCCGGTGAGTGCAAAGTGTAACGGGGAAAGAGAGGCAGCACGTTAACGCTTGCTATAGTATGTGTCTGGTCGAGGTTGAACGTTCCCCGAAGCCAGTAGCATCATGGTATGACAATATACTCATTCTCTACGTTCGCGCACTCATCACTGGCATTCAGTGCTATGCCTGCCATGCCTGGTTCCAAGGTGTTCACAAATACTCCGCTGGTTCATGAAGCTCGGTAAGATAATGCTGAGTAGTCTGCATTTTATTTCTTCTGCTCACATGGCGCACAGTGAGGGTGTCATGGAATTCCTTCTAGCCAACCACCCACTCGACTGCCCTATTTGTGACCAGGGTGGTGAATGTGACCTTCAGGACCAGTCCATGCGATACGGCTCTGATCGCACGCGTTTCCACGAAATTACGGGCAAACGTGCGGTTGAGAACAAGGACCTTGGACCTCTTGTGAAAACTTCCATGAACCGTTGCATTCAATGCACGCGGTGTGTCCGTTTCGCTAACGAGGTTGCCGGTGTTGAGGAACTTGGTACGACGGGTCGCGGTAATGACTTGCAGATCGGCATGTATGTTGAGAAGACCATGGACTCCGAACTTTCCGGCAATATCGTCGATCTTTGTCCCGTCGGTGCTTTGACAAGCAAACCGTACGCCTTCAACGCCAGACCATGGGAACTAAAAAACACCGAGTCCATCGATGTTATGGATGCCCTTGGTTCGAATATTCGCGTCGACTCTCGCGGTGTCCAAGTGATGCGCATCCAGCCTCGAACCAACGATGAAGTCAACGAGGAGTGGATCAGTGACAAGACGCGTTATGCCTACGACGGCTTGAAGTTCCAGCGCTTGACGACACCTCTTATCAAGCAGGGCGACCGTTTCGTTGCAGCTACGTGGGAGGAAGCTCTGCAAGCAATTGCAGATGGTATTGCCTCCTCAGGGGCTACCGGCAATGAGATTCAAGCCGTTGCTGGACACCTTGCCGATACGGAGTCCCTTGTCGCTCTCAAAGACTTGATCAACCGCCTAGGCTCAGATAATCTTGCGCTCGACCAGATCAATGGCAGTGCACCGCCCCCTCATGGTGTTGACGTTCGCTCCAATTACCTTTTCAACTCTACCATTCCTGGTGTTGAGGAAGCCGATGCCATCCTACTAGTTGGCACTAACCCACGTCACGAGGCTGCTGTCCTCAACTCTCGCATTCGCAAGAGCTGGCTGCACACGAGTCTCGAGGTCGGCCTCATCGGCGAGCGTGCTGATACGGCGTACGGTTACGACTACCTTGGGGCAGACTCTAATGCTCTTGCTGACTTCATTGCCGGAAAGGGAGCATTTGCAGCCAAATTCAAGGCGGCCAAGCGGCCCTTGATCATCGTTGGAAGCGCTCTTGCAGAGCAACCCGACGGTGCTGCTGCTTACAACGCGTTGGCCAAGTTCGTCGAAAAGAACAAAGATTCGCTCATTACCCCTCAGTGGAATGGCTTCTCCGTCCTACATAGGGTAAGCCTTGACTTTCAACCCCTGAGTTTCAGTAGACTTAATTGCCTTTTAGGTTGCATCTAGACCCGCTGCATACGAGATCGGGTTCGTTCCCTCGAAGAACGCCGCCAGTACCCAACCCAAATTCATTTACTTGCTTAACGCCGATGAAGTTGACGCCAAGTCTATACCTACAAATGCATTCGTCGTTTACCAAGGTCACCACGGAGATCTCGGCGCCTCGCTCGCTGATGTTTGCCTGCCTGCCGCAGCGTACACCGAAAAGGCTATGACATGGGTGAACACGGAGGGCCGGTCTCAAGTAGGTCGTGCCGCTGTTCCCCCACCTGGCGCTTCCCGCGAGGATTGGAAGATTATCCGGTAAGCTGCTATTTCGTTCGACTGTTATTTATGCTCACTTCTTTTCTTCTAGCGCACTTTCTGAGGTCCTCGGCTCACCGCTTCCCTACGATGACGTCCTGAGTTTGCGTGACCGCATGTGGGATATCTCACCCACTCTTGTTCGCTATGATGTTGCAGAACGGACATCTCCTGAAGTCGCTGTGGCGGGTCTTCAGACCATCGCAGCCAACACTGCATCCGCGAAGGTCTCTGGCAAGCCCTTCCTGAAACCCATCTCCAACTTTTACCAAACCGACCCCATCTCACGCGCGTTAGTATCTCTTTTTTTTTGTTCATATACTCAGACTGACTGGTCGCTGGTAGATCCGTCACTATGGCACAATGTACGCGTGCTTTTGTTAAGGGAGAGGACTACGGATTCAGTGAGAAGGGCTCGGAAGCAGCGTATGCGTGATGGATGTATACTAATAGTAGGGGTATTTGTGGCAATCTCTTAAATAAATCTTACTAGACCAGACACTCGGAAGCCTGACATCCTGTTTACAACTGTTTTCCAAGATCTCACATGCAACTCACATGGGCTCTCACGATGTGTATTCTACTTATCGCTTTTGTTCGACCTCGAGTCGGATAAGCTGTTAAACAGCTGCCAAGATGAGGTAAAAGTGTTCCTCTGTCCGGTTCCTGGACCCTTTCCTCTATTCTCATGACATCCTTCATCATTGGCGCGCATACCAACCGCAGTATACCAACAGAATGGAGGGACGATGCGGATCGTGATTGCCCATTCTGCCGCATCATTGCAGGCGAAATGCCCTCGACACGTCTGTATGAGGACGATAAGGTTATAGCTATTCTAGGTACTTGACGCTGAGAAGCAGGCGAAAACCCTATTGACAATGACCTCCTGCATAGATATCTTGCCTTTGAGACGAGGGCATACCCTTGTTATACCCAAAGCCCATTACTCGCGGGTATCAGAGTTACCCCCAGACTATGCCGGCGCGGTAGGGCAGGCTGTGACGAAAGTGGCGAATGGACTGGCGAAAGGTGAGGATACTGCTATGATCATCTTCGGTGGGATGTGTTAAGGAGATTGGTATGAAGCATTGGGTAACACTGCGCTAAATGTAGTGTGCAATCAGGAGTATGCGCAAGCAGTGCCACATGTATGTCTTTACTTGAGAATCTTCATTTAAAGCTTTGAGGCTCACTCTGTGATGGTCCTGCTTAGGTTCACTACCATATTATTCCTGCTCCGTCGTTTGACTCGACCCCACGAGTAGATGTATCAGAGAAAGCGAAGGAGGATGAGATACCTTTGAGTCGGCGGGAGATGCACCAGAAGGAATTTGAGTCGAGGGAGGAGCTCGATGAAGATGAAGGGAAGGGTCTGGCTGTGAGGATACGTGCCAGTCTATAACGGTACGGGATCGCATTCATCATGCGGTTCTGCATATGAAGCATATTCTACTCCTTGTTGTAGCACTGATGACATCATCCCGGACTCTTGCTGCTATGATGATAACTTAAGTATGTACCGCCCATTTGTGACAATATTAATTCATGTCGACTTGATGGATGACACTGATCATGATTGCCTCGCCGTATCAGATGCTGCGATATGATTCGCGTCTAGACTTCTTCGGAAAGCCTTCCAGATGTGCGCCAAGTTGTGCTGAACAGCCTCACACTGGCAGTGTTTACCAAAAATACAACAGCCTATCGGTGATGCTTCATGATACCGCAAGACGTTTCCAGGAGATCTATCAGCGAATGCCTCGAGGAGGATGGATTGATACGTACGATTCCTGAAAAAACGCTGTCTCTACACAACGATATACATGAAAAAATTGGTGAAGACGCCCACACCTTGACACCGCTCACATACTGTGGACAGCTGTAGACATTATTTCTACTATGGCTGTGAGTGGCATCCCGTTGGATAACGGTTCTTTAATGTCAACAGTGCTGGAAGGTATCTCATACGGCGAGTATCACAATAGGTGCCGGGGAATGGTTGAGGGTGGTCACCATGCGTAAAACTTGTTTAGTGAAGCGTTTGTCACTGAACAGAAGAAAAGTATGCTCATGATCATTGCGCAGGAGACGCCAGCCACGCTAATTGTCAGCCAGACCAGGAAACACTTTTCATAGCAGAACATGTAATGTCAATCATTCCAAGAATGTACGATATCTCGACAATTTTTGCCTTCTGGTGTTAAATACAAATAATATGACAGACCTACATATCAGATGGGAAAAAGGCTACCCACAGCGAGTATATTCCTGCATCTTTGTGCGCTTAGTAGTTAGCATCCTGCTGAATGAGCGCGATGGCTTTCGCAGAGCGAGGCTTGATAGAGCACTTGAAAGGCTTGGGATGGCTGGAAGTGTATTTGTTACCAGTACTGCAGACACGAGAAGATGCACGACATACCTGATTGAACCCGATGAGGGGTCAAGCTCGGGGGTGATCTCAACACCGTTCTCGATGGCCTTGGAGATATCAAAAACTGCGAGTGACATCGCGGTAGATATCCAAACCGAGGCATCAGCGAGATGAAGACCTATACAATCAAAAGCAAGCGAATCAGAGGACTGTGTTGTTAATCGATGCCTTCTGAGTTAGCCATACCTGGGCAAATTCTGCGGGGCAGGAGATTAGCATTTCGCTCCAAACAAACTCCAGGCTTACCGTCTGCCAAAGCCGAAACAGATAGTTCGAGGATCCAGCTCAAGTTCCTGTCCATCCTTAGCCAAGAAGCGTTCAGGATTGAATTGCGAGGGATTAGTATATGTTCGTGGATTGTTGAGCATGAACCTGTCGCAATCCAAAGGATTTAATTCTGTCGATAAATCGAATATGGAAAAGGGGGAGCACTGACGAAATGTTAGGTATGACCAAGGAGCCTTTTGGAATGTAGTACCCATCATGTATATCGTCCTCAGTAACACGATGGGGAATAGCTGTCATTGAGCAATTGATACTGCTAGGCAATTAAAGAATGTGATAAATGAGGTACACATACCGGTTGGAACTACGGTATTCCAGCGCAAGACTTCTTTCGCAAGAGCCTCAGTGTATGGGAGAGATTCGCGATCGGCGAAAGAGGGAAGGCGATCGGGACCGACAACGACATCTATTTCAGCCTGAGCCTTCTTCTGCGCATCGGGGAAGAGTGTCATGGCTAGGAAAAACGAGTAGATTGCAGAAACCGTCTGAGGAGACGGATGTTAGTCTGAAAATATGATAAAAAGAAGGGAGGTGCAAACCGTGTCGGCACCACCAGCGTATAGGGATGCAGAAGACCACATCGCCATATTATCCTCTTCCGCAGATAAAGTGCGACCTTCCAACAAATTCGAGGTGAAAGACATTGGGGCAATGCCAGCAGCCTGTAAACACGTTCAACTCATGATCGCAAAACTACAGATATGGGTTACTATCTGATCCTTGACGAACTTGTAGGGTGCAGTAACCATCTGTTCGCGGGTCTCGTACCATTCACGGGCTAAGCGCTTGAATCCAGCACCAGGGAACCACTCAGGGACCCTGGCCACTGACAATAGTCAGGCTAATTACAAGCAAACGGCAGAATGCTATAGCCTTACAAAATGGCATGATGTCAACCATGAAGGCACCGGGAGCACTGGACCGCGATAATTGGTTCATAGCGTGGTCTGCAAGATTGATGAAGGGATCGTTGTTCTCCTTCACTTCATAACCATGAGAAATTCGCAGAATAATAGCGCCAGCGGTGCTATGACAGTTGAACCTCAAGTCAATTATAACAATTAATGAAACATACTGTCGAACATGCGCCTGGAGTTGATCGGGTTTCGTTAGTACGCACTTCAAAAATCGGTGAGTCTCAATCTCCTCGATGGGGTTGTAGACATCCATGGCAGCGCGACTGCCAATGATACGGTGGATGTTCTTGCGGTACCAGCGAAAACGGTCACCATAAGGGAGAAGACCCAAAGAGAGATTCCAGCCAACCAGTTCACCGCACATCGGAAGAACAGGACGGTCAGAGTACATGTTACTCTTCTTGTCCAGCATTTCCATCCCGGTCTTAACAGAATTCAGCACAATGATGTGCTGACCCAGAACCTCGACATGCGAGATATCACCTGCACGGCACGGGGGTTGAAATGGGTGATTTTGGAACGACAGGAGGCACTCACCATACTTCTTGCCCCACTCTGTGAAGGTCAGCCAAGGCTTGATGCGAGGCATGTCTGTCACGTTCCCAACGAGAGGCCATCCCGGGGGGCCAGGGGGATATGATACAGGGTTCTTCTTGATGAACACCTGCTTTACCAAATACACTGCGACACCAGCAAGACATAAGTCCAACCAAGTAGAGTTGGTGAGTGGCAACATGGTCCAGTAGAAGAGGATGAGCGCTAGTACACTGGACACAATATCATTCTTGTACGTAAGCTTCGGAATCAAAGAGACGACCTGTCCAACAGTCCAAGTGAAACAGGCGACCGTCTGAGTGCGAGAGAACATAAAAATCGATGATTACTACCAGCCACATTCCTCAGGTGGATAATGTTGATAGGCGTAGTGACCAGTGGGTGGTGAGATTTGCAATACATATTGCACTGTCAGGTTTGATCACGGCTGACGCTGATCGATTGATTGAAGGATGCGTCGAGAGAAAATAACGATGTTTTTATAATTAGTATGCAACGAAGTGTTGGAGAGAGAGAAAAATTTCTATACCGCAACAAATTTACACTTTAAGGAAACTGTCAAGACGCGGTGTCCTGCCTTGAGGGACACCCAGTATTAAATTCCCACGAACCTACATTTTGTGACAAACCATGTAGAATATCTTATTTCATGTTCGCTCGACGTTAATTGGGTCGTCGGGGACGTGCTCAATGTTCATCTAATCACTGCCGCACGGTGGGTCGTTCGTACTCTCACCCATCTCACGAGCAAATTTGACAGGCAGTCATTTCTCTCGATGTGCTCAGAACCACGTCCCGCATTCCAGACTTCTTCATGTTGAAAACTACCGCAGTGAACCACGCTGCACCTGTTCATCGACACCGAGTCACCAACAAAGTCCAGAATGTCAAACCAACACTGGATACCGATACCAAAGTTGCGCACCCGTGGCACGTTAGAACGTAAATTGGAGCACATCGAGATAACTACAACAGCTCGTCCAGCAAGCTGTGGTGGCATTCGAATCGAGACTCGGTAGTAAGTCTCGCATATATACATCTACTTTTGTGCTTAAAATTTCACGGAGTGGACATGATATGAGCCCATCACCGCCACAATCGTCCACGCAACCACTCTTCCTTGACGTGTTACTTGCCCTCGTACGAGTCACGTAATGTCCACAGCTTCTTACGAGCTGCGAGGTCCTTGTCGGCGTCTATATCCATTGTATGGCTTGGTTTTTTGCCTTTCCTACAAATATGCAACAGGTCCTGTGGCGCATGATGAGTGGGATTCAGAAGGAGACGATAGTGAATTCACACACTGTTGTTCTGGAGCTAGAGAGTCAGAAATGCGGATGATATCGCTGGCGTTCGGAATTGATTTGAACTTTTTACAAGCTGATACAGGCACATGTACAGCATGATATATGTGGGCGCATGAGGAGCCTTTCACATTCACTTGACCTCTTCCTGCTGCATCGCCTCCATTTGCTTCTCATTCCTTGCACGGCGCCATAATGTTCTCGGTGTTCCATCCCCAATGACGTGTTTTCTTACTAGCCACCATACCTGGCGTTCTGCATTACTCAGAAAGTTCATATTAAGTACTTCGTAGCTGATGCAGGACGCTGGGTATCACGAAGGCATTAGACCATTTAGTCATGCAAGACCAAGAACCTTCTCGCCAGCAACGAGGAGACCACGCTTCGAGTACCACAGAACGATTCTGGGCGCTCCATTGCATGGGTCTTCTGCTTCTATCACAGGTATGTGTTGCGGTCAGCTCCAGCATGTTCTTGATCCATTCTTGAACAGGAACTGAACCCTAGCGTAGCACGGAGATACTTTGGCGCTTGGCTATCTACATGGGGTGTCTCGTGTCATGGTACGACCAGATCATTCTAGACACCTTTTGCCTGTAGACGGGGAAAAGACCTTCAGATTCACTGTGATTCAAGTTGTGATCAAGCTCTGGCCACAACGCAAACGCTGATGAGAAAGACACCTCACGAACAGTATGGCGCCGGATTCATGCTCAATGTGGGTTTACATTCCTACTGCTCTGTGATGGTGTGTTGATCGTTGGTATATAGTGCTGCTCCTCTTCCTTATGACCGGGCAACATGCTACTCGTCCTCGCACAAGTCACGTAATGTCTACAGCTTCTTACGAGCTGCGAGGTTGTCGGCGTCGGCGTCAGCGTCTATGGTTCATCAGAAGATCAGCAAGAGATAAATCTTGATGGTTCACTACAACTGTGCCACTCGAAGATGGGTCGGGAACGTGTAGAGACTGCATGCAGTGTCATAGGCGGCGAGTCGATCGTTGATCGTGTTCATCTGACTGTATCGTATGTGTCTTTCAAGTCGCGCAGCAAATTGCAATGCCACTGATGCACGATACTTCCCTTGCGCTTGTCATGCTGCAAACACCAGGCAAGCTTACTGTCAGGGCCTCATTGACGCCCGTTAACAGGTCAAATACCCATAGTGAGCAGGACGTACAAACTGCAATACCCCCACTCCAAAGTGACATTCAACAATGCGCTTACTTCTCTGCATGATCCTCTACCTCGTTGGAGTAATCCAAGCCGCACCTACTACTAATACAACTACTACCAGCGAGGATTTTGAAGCCACGTCATTCACGAATAGAACCCTGTCGAACATCATCTCGAGCTCCGTTCTCACTATTTTCGCCTGTATATACAGCGCCGTCCACCCAAATATCCCAAGTCCTAAGGACAGCCCATTTTGTATCCTACGGCGACGACTTGGCATCATGATAGTGGCACTAATTGCTCCTGAACTGATCGTCGTATGGGCTATGCGCCAGCGAATCAGCGCTCGTCGTGTTACGAAACGGTTCAAGAAGTCACGGTATTTCAATGTTCCTCGGCCGCAGGAGCAGTCTGAAAGTGAGTTGTGCTTTCTGAGATTGGATATGTTCCTCAGACAACTCACCATGCACGTCCTCAGATTATGAGTTGGCTGGGGTGCCTGCAGAGCAACTTGGAGGTGAGCTCGACATTCTATTTTTGAATCCTGAATATGCTTCCTCATGGCTCGCCTGACTTTGAAGATCATGATAGCACCCGGCTTCTCGTAGCGCCTGCTTACTTTTCAGCTCAATCCGAAGGTAAGCTGCGTTCGCGCTCTTCCAAACGTTTGACTGATGTGAATCCTTAGATTACACGTGGACTCAGACCCACAGTTTCTTTGTACTGATGGGCGGTTTTATGCTTTATGTGGACGGGGAACCCTACCGTACACTATGGCCTAACGACATTCTCAGGCTGATACGTAAAGGGTGTATTGATGCCCCTACCCTAACGGCAAAGCGGATCTGCGACAAGAGTAAAGGCAATGTGATATCGAAAGGGTTGATCATCCTTCAGGTGGCCTGGTTCATCCTGCAGCTCATCACCCGCGCCATCTATCACCTCGAAACCACCCAGCTGGAAACAGGGACGCTCGCGTTTGCGGTTCTCAATTTCCTGACCTATGCGCTATGGTGGAATAAGCCTCTCGATGTTCAGTGTCCATATCCGGTGTATTGGAAGTCGACCGAGTCAGAGCCAGAGGATCACATTCATGCAGAGGATGACATTGATGCGTATGTCTGCGTCTAGATTGATTATTCCGTTGTTTATTGTCTACCTCAGCGTCTCTGAAGATGACGAACACAATTACGTTGAGGTGATCGTTGATGCAGCCTTCGGTCCATTTATGGAACTCACGAGCATTGACGTTGCCACGCGTCAGCTCCGAGTTCCTACATTTGATGGCAGCCTTGGAGTACATGGATGGGACAAGTGGATTCTTACGTTTGCCGGAATTCTGATGGCGACCATCTTTGGCGGCATCCATGGTATGGCTTGGTTTTTTGCCTTTCCTACGAATCTGGAACGGCTCCTGTGGCGCATCAGTGCCGTCGCTATAACTTGCACACCCTGGATTGAATATCTGTCGTATGGAATAAGTGATGTCATAGCTTTAGGTGATATGACCTCTATTGCTATGATTACATTTGCCCTGTTGTACATTGCAGGTCGTGTTATGCTCTTGGTACTTATGTTTACGACATTACGTCATCTTCCCGTTGACGCATACACGACGGTGTCGTGGATTAGTTTTGTGCCGCACTTGTAGTTTTCTTACTTTCTTACTTTCATACTTTTGTAATCATACTCAGCATTACTGTAAGGCAGTGTCATAGTACGCAAAAATTGTATTTCAGGAAAGAAACGTGCGTGCGGTGTTCGTCTAGATTTCCTGACTCTGCTGGAAGGCAGGCTTTACTCGTCGTTCTTGGTGATGCAGGCCTCACTATCGACAGCTGATCCATGCTCACTGCTCACATCCACCAACGCCATAACAATCCCCTCTCTCAAAATGTTCGTCTAAATGTTCAGACACTACTGGAACTCGTCAGCAGGCTTTCCTCGTTCTTAGCGATGCAGGCCTCACTATTGATGGCTGCCCTTTGCTCCCATCATCTACGAACGCCTCCCTCCACAATAATCCCTGTCTCTAACCATTGCGGGATCAAAAAATTCACAAGAAATGTTTCGTACTCTCTTACCCACCGAAGCAGCTCTGTTCTTACATGAAGCTTTGAAGTGGGGGTGGCGGATACGAATGAGCATGATCCAGAGCGCTCAAGAACTCACACCTCGTGGAAAACCCTCTTCAGATCCCCTCTCAAACCTCCGTATCCTCCACAGCCCAGCGACCTTCACAGCTCCGTCGATTGGGGATGCCCCGACATGAAATTTTATGATCTTTGGACTGACAGCGTCAACCGGGGCCATGTATATGGTATCGCGTTCGAAAGTGGCACTGAAGAAAATCCCGAGAGAGGACAGCTGGCGGCAGTGCTTCAAGAGACATACGCATACATCGAAGGTCAGCAATGGAGCAACGAGCCATTCCTCCTGGTCGCCCAAGTAGAGCTTCTCAAGGCATGGGCAAGACAGGGTCAACTCCCTGAGAAATGTATCGTCAATATGCGCTGTGCAAGAATGCCCGAGGTCCAAGTAGTCGAGTCCCTTGGATGATAGGATCGGAAGCATCATGCGAGAGTTGAGCATGATCAATTCGTTGCTAGCATCCACGACTGATACAGTGTTGATTACCAACGACAGCCGTGTAAGTTTCTTGGAGTCGGGATGTACTGCACATTTTCACGTGCGAGAAGAAGAAAAAGCAGGGGGAAAAGAAAAAGTCCTCGAGAAAAGGACATGGTGGTGCAAGCGACGCAATGGTGGCACACAGGCGAACACTCCACGAGACGGGTGAAAGATTGAAGGACTTCAATTTGGGCCCACAGAAAAACCTGAGTGTCAATAGAAACAAAAGGCATGTTGATGTAGTAAAACAGCAATAAACGCACGGTGCACACACCTCAGCAGCAGCAAGACGCCCAGAATCCTCAAACCCTCATGGACCATGCTGACCCATCAGTCTCTAGTTAGATGTTGCAGCTCGTTCTAAGTATCACACTTGATTGAAATTGAGAAGATCGCGAGGGCACCGTAACGGCAGTTGCACGTTTTCCTGATGTTGACAGGCTTGTAAGACACGACACTTCATTTGTGGGACCCGAGGATACGTTTAAGAAGACGGGAAAAAATTCATACTTCATCCCCACTGGCAGTAGCAGTAGTCGCGTGAGAATTAGAATGAGTCGCGTGTACTGAGGATGCGAGCCAGGGGTATTTGGAGGTAGCATGTGGGGTCCAGAGAGAAGCGGTTTTCGGTCGCAGACTCGGAAGGGTGCGTAGTATTTGTTTGTAAGTCATTATCTGGGAGTTCGTCACCGATGCCAGGGTAGTGTGAGTTTTGGATATGGATCAGATGGCCAGGGTACGACATGAAATGGAGTTCAATCATCGATGAGTTCGTTTATATCCAGGATGTACTAGAGAATCGTCAACAATCGAGATGGAGGCTCAAAATCAGTCACAAATACCTGGGCCATCTTCAGAGGTAGCTGGTGGTGGTCCCGTAGCCTGGAAGTTCAATTTTTCTCAAATTCTGTAGCACAAAAATTATAATATGGCCGGTGTCAAAAACCTTGTCAAAAACTGGTTAAAAACACGCGTCAATAACTGGCCTGGGGATGCCCAATGTTATAAACATGTCCAAAACTCGGCGGGGAGTTTTTCACGGAACACTAGTCGCGGCGAAAGGAGTGGCTGTGCTTCTTTATCTTTCTTCTCCGAAGTTCGAACCAAGAAATGCCAGTGGACTGGGCGATACTTGCTGGTAGTTCAATACTACTCAGGAAAACCGTTCAACGGTAGACATGCTGCCCAATGTATTGTCAAGACTTGATGTACCACCAATTGCCCTTGTTCCAGGTCGCAACTCGTTGTAACGTCTGGAGCCTCAGTGCTGGACTTCAGCCATATCATCTGAATCCGACTCATACTCTCGCAAACCGTCCCTGGTATTCCATAACTCTCTCAATAATCCTTCCTCCATGGCATTGTCAGCTCAATCGTACTCATATAGACATTCGGCTTTTCTTTTCTGTGTGCACCTACTGGTACCTGCACCGATACCTCAACTGTTTGCTTTCCGCTGCGAAGTCGGAGAAAGTAGAAGTAGGGGCAGGGTTTTGGGAGGACTCGAGTGAGTGAGATTCAGAAGGAGAAGGTGAGTTCATGTTTTGTTGTTCTGGAGCTAAAGAGTCAGAAATGCGGGTGATATTGGAATGTACTGCTGGCTTTCGGGATTGATTTAAGCTTCTTACGCTTCGACTACCGTAGAACAATTCTGGGCGCTTCATTGGACTGCTTCCATCACAGGTATGTGCTGCAATCAGTTCTCGCGTGTTCTTGATCCATTTTTGAACAGGAGCTGAGCGCTGAACCCTGACGTGGCAAGGAGATACTTTGGCGCTCGGCTTCTTTGTCAGGCGATCTACATGAGATGTCACGCTAAGACGAAGACGAGTGAGACGCTTCGTGAAAAGCACGGCGGCAGCGAGTTCATGCACAACGTGGGTTCATGTTCCTACTAATCTCTGCTCGTGTGTCAATCATTGGTATTAACAGTGCGGCTTCTCTTCTTTGATATCGGACAACGTGCTACTTGCCCTCGTACGAGTCACGTAATGTCCACAGCTTTTTACGAGCTGCGAGGACCTCGTCGGCGTCTATATGGTACACGAGAAGATCAGCAACCTATGACCTTTGAAGCTTCAACAACCGTGCCACTCAAAGATGGGTCAGGAATGTGGTAGAGGCTGTATGCTGCGTTATCAGCTTTGGGTCCGATGCAACTGTACGCGCGCTTCCCGGGTGGTGACGGATTGGGTGAAGGATTATTGAACGTGTTCATCTGACTGATATGTGGCGTTCATTCGCACAGCCAATTACAATACATACTTTCCCTTGCGCTTGCCATGCCGTAAACACGAAGCAAGCCTGCCGTTAGGGTCTCATTGTACTGCCTCGAGAAGACGCCCGCCAGCAGATAAAATCTACATAGTGAGCAAGATGTACAAACCGCAATATCTCCACCCCAAAGTGACATCCAATTATGCGCTTTCTTCTATGGATGATCCTCTACCTCGCTGGAGTAATCCAAGCCGCACCTACCAATGCAACTACTACCAGTGAGGATTTTGAAGCACCGTCATTCACGAATAGAAGCCTATGGAACATCGTCTCCGGCTCCGTTCTCACTCTTTTCGCATGTATATATAGTGCCATCCATCCGAATATTCCGAGTCCTAAGGACAGCCCATTTTGTATCCTACGGCGGCGACTTGGCATCATGATAGTGGCACTAATTGCTCCTGAACTGGTCGTCGTATGGGCTATGCGCCAGTGGATTAGCGCTCGTCACGTCACCAAAGACTTCAAAGAATCAGGGTATTTCAATGTTCCTCAGTCGCAGGAGCAGTCAGAAAGTGAGTCGTGCTTTCTGGAATTGGATATGTTCCTAGGACAACTTACCATGCACGTCCTTAGATCATGAGTTGGGTGAAGTGCCTGCAGAGCAACTTGAAGGTGACCTCGACATTCTATCTTACATCCTGAATATGCTTGCTCATGACTCGCCTGCTTCTCAAGATCACGATAGAGCCCGGCTTCTCATAGCGCCTGCTGAAGGTGAACCATCTGTACTGGTGTTTCTTCGGCAGCTCATCGTACTCCAGTGTCCACTTCAAGATATGGAGGAACTCAGACTCTTGCGAAGCCATTCGAAGAGTTGTTTCCAGCTTACTTTTCAGATCAATCCGAAGGTACGCCCGATTTGTGCTCTCCCAAACGTTTGACTGATGTGGATCTTTAGATTACGCGTGGACTCAGACGCACAGCTTCTTTGTGCTGATGGGCGGTTTCATGCTTTATGTGAAAGGGAAACCCTACCGTACACTACTGCCTGACGAGGTTCTCAAACTGATGCGTAATGGGTGTATTGATGCCCCTACCCTAACGGCAAAGCAGATCTGCGACCGGAGCAAAGGCAATGTGATATCGAAAGGATTGATCATACTTCAGGTGGCCTGGTTCATTCTGCAGCTCATGTCTCGCGCCATCTATCACCTCGAAACCACCCAGCTGGAAACAGGGACGCTCGCTTTTGCGGTTCTCAATTTCCTGACCTATGCGCTATGGTGGAATAAGCCTCTCGATGTTCAGTGTCCATATCCGGTGTACTGGAAGTCGACTGAGTCAAAGCCGGAGGATTACATTCATGAGTATGTCAGCGTCTGGATCGATTATATATGCCGTTATTTATTGTCTACCCCAGCGTCATTGAAAGTCAACGTACTTGGCTGCAGGGGATCATTTTTGCAGCCTTTGGTCCATTTTTGGAACTGACGAGCATAGACGTTCCCACGCCTAAGCTCCGAGTTCCTACATTTGATGGCAGCATCGAACTGGACTCGGACAACTGGATTCTCATATCTGCCGGAATTCTGATTGCGACTATCTTTGGCGGCATCCATTGTATGGCTTGGTTTTTTACCTTTCCTACACATGAGGAACAGGTCCTGTGGCGTATCAGTGCCGTCGCTATAACTTGCACACCCTCCCTTCAATTTCTTTGGTATGTAATGTATGATGTCATAGGTGACACTCTGTCTATAGTTATCGTTGCTATGAGTATATCTGGCCTGTTGTACATTGCATCTCGTGGTATGCTCTTAGTACTTATGTTCACGACATTACGCCATCTTCCTCTTGACGCATACACGACAGTGTCGTGGATTAGTTTGGTGCCGCACTTGTAGTTTGCTTATTTTCATACTATGTAATCATACTCAGGATTAACAGGCAGTGTCATAGCACGCAAAAATTGTATTTCAGGAATGAAAGGTGCGTCCGATGTTCTTCTAGATTTCCTGATTCTGCTTGGACTCCTTAGCAGACTTTACACCCAGTGAGAATCGGACATTGCGAGAGACGTTCGGAGAGTGCCACATCGTGCCCAGCCAAAAAAACCGCTCTCGCATGATCTGGACAAGAAATCTGGACGAATACACGATGCAAAAGGAGTCAGCATCGTGTGTCGTCGTGCGAGGTTAGTTTAAGTTGTATTGACACGATATGGCACTTTGTTGCATTTGCTGCGAGCGGTTGATATCATGCGAGAACAGTACATATGATATTGCTTGTAGCTACCACAGAATACAATACATTCCCTCCTGTACGAACAATAGCGTGAAAACGGTTGAATAGCAGCGCAAAAAATGGTTGAATAACAGTGCAAAAACGGTTGAATGATAGCAGGAAAGCTGTCCTGGCTGCAATACGAATCGATAGTGTGAAACGGGACTCGGGAGCGACGTACACGCTCAGTACAATGTGCCGTCGACGACGGCCTGGACAGTGTTCTTGACCCAAACGTTCGAGGTACCCTGAGCAGACGTTTGTATCAGTAGCACCGCTGTAAACATGCGAAACATTCACCAATTGCGCAGCGTCCGACTCGTAAGCCTAACAGAAAGGTAAGTGCAGTACTGTAGAGCGAGAAAAAAGCGATGACATACATTGCGCTGTTGCGTGTCGAGCGCGTCCCAGTAGACGCGGAAGTCTGATGTAGTCCCGTCTTTCTTGACCTGTTTGAGCCAACGAAGAATGCAAAGGTCCCTGCCAGTGCAGATACTATGTCAGTAACACTAGTTTACGGTGCAAAAAGAACTCACCTTCCATTCTTCTTATTGCTAGGGCGTGCCTTACTGGCCTTCTTCGGTGCTTCGACAGCGGGTTCAACTCGGACGGCCCCGTTAATGGAACTGGAGACAGCAGGGGTGGGTTCGGGCTGGCCATTGGATATGGCCGCAACAACGAGGGGCAGAGTGGTGGTACCTACTGGAGCCTCTGAGCCGGGAGACTCACCAACAGGTTCGTTAACATGGGCATTGGGTTGGGAGATGGGGGCAGTGTGTTCGCGAGCCACTGGGGATGGTAGTGGTGTTGGTGGGACTCGGAAAAGGGTGGAAGTGATGCCATCACTGTAGCTAATGAGTTAGTAGGCAAAAATAAATACAAAAATACATACAGCGGATTTTTCAGCTTCATTTGAGGTACTGGGATGGTGGCCGTGTCCGAGTCGTTGTCGCATACTGCCGGTGGTGAAGGTACTACATCCACGAGAGAAAGCTCTAGTTCTTGATGTTCTGACGGCGATGGGGTGCAGGAACTGCTTGATGAGGAGAAAGGTTTTCGTCTCTTCGCAGAACGTGTAGTATGGTCCTCAACTGTCGCGCTCCGCTTCTTCTCAAGATCGTCTCCCTCTTCATCATCATCTGCACAAACACCAAGGTCGTACTGGTCGAGTTCTTCGGGTTTGATGCCCTTGGCCCTCGCTTTTGCTCGCCTGCGTGCTGTTCGCCAAGCTGAATACACATTCTTCGCCAGTTCGTTCATCAGGAAAACCCTCTGATACAAACATATACTAAGTATGTCAAGATTAATAAAATTTTCTCTAATTCATTGTAGTTTCACAAAATTAGACGTCTTAGCAGATTAGAGAACCTTTTTTACTGCCCCACCAGATCTTACTCCTGCGCACTAATTTATTGATGATTTTAAATAAATTCACAAACTTACAAGTCATCAAGGATCTTATTTTGACGGTCTGTTCAGGATTTCATTGATTTCATTCAAACGTTTTAACTTACTCCTGCGCACTAAGTTAGTGATGATTTTAAATAAATTCACAAACTTACAAGTTATCAAGGATCTTATTTTGACGGTCTGTTCAGGATTTCATTGGTTTCGTTCCAACATTTTACAAGAACAAATTAAGTTTTCATTAAAAGAGGGGTATATCAGCATAGCTTGTAGAATATGAGACAATAAAGGAGCGTTGAGAATGATATACGTGAATGCAATTATATAAAATGATGAGACCGCAACTTGGAAATCTACTCCTCGTCATCCATGCCAGCAATATCGAGGAAAGCCATCGCAGACTCGTGTGATCCAACTAAAGCGTTGTTGCCATGGGTGCAGAGTTTCCTTGTGAGGTGTGAGACTTGGACAGATGAGTTGGCGCAGCGCAGAAATGGACTCACTGGATAGCCTCGAAAATGTCAGCCATCATCTTGTGAAACTTGCGCGGCGCTGTCACCTTCATGTCTTCAAGAAATTTCACATGAAAAAAGTAGACCTCGCTGAATAGATTGCCAGTAAAATTGAATTTCGATGGAGATCCATTAGCCTTCCAGAAGAGTGCAGCATACACCTATACACTCATTGTTAGTACATGCACTCGGACCCAGAGTATGTCAATAAATATACCGAAGTACTCGTTAAGGCGACCATTGGAATTGTAACTTCGGGCCGCTGGGCCTTGTTTTGCGCAATCTCCTTGAAACGGTCTGAAAATTTCATGCCAACTGACTTTAGCCCATTGAAGTAGCGCCCCTTCATTAGATATGGTAAGATATCAGCGAAGTATGGCTTTTTTGGCTGTGGAATGGGGTCGTTCTTCTCCTGGAGAGTGTGCACAGTGTTGAGCAAATCAATTTGTGCAACCCAGAACATAGCCACCTACATTGAAATGCTGTTCATAATGGTAGACGTGGTTGACCAGCAAAGCCTTCGCAGTGTCGACACAATCAGGGCCAAGACGATAGTATGACGTCACTTGAGCACAAGCGTCGTCTTTTAATTCAGTGCGGAAAAGTGGCACTCGGGCTTCAATCTGTATGAGAGGTTCAACCAATTAGTAATATTGCGAAGAGTCCAACTCTTGAGCATACCAGCGTGGCGAGAGCTGTCACATACGAGTCATCAGACTTGAGGCGATCCTTGATGGGCAGGACACTGCAGGCGCGAGCTGCTGTTAAGAGTGCGTCCCGCGTAAACAGGCTCTTCTCGGTGAGCTCCGGATAGCCGTTGACAAATGTCAAGTGAACTTTTGCCTCCAAGATCGCTCTTTGGACCACACGACGGGTGTCAATATCTTGGTCCATCAGCTTCAACTTACCAGTGTCTGTCCATACAAGTGTGGGCCTTCTAGAGTGATCTGGGTTGTCCTCCTCGGAGTCGTCTAACACCATGATGGGCTCATGTTCCTCATCTGACACGACGACTTGAGTATCTGCCCAAACAGGTGTCTGGAGAGTCCAAAACATCATTCGAACACGAGATAACTGTGAGAGAACTTTCACTCACCTCATCTGCTCGTTTACGATCACGCGCAGACTTAGATTTTGTTTTCTGAGGGGTATTATTATTTCAACATGGAGGTAAGTATCCAAGCCAACTTACCTTGGTAGCCCTTGGTTGAGCCGACGGAAAGGGGAATGGTTGAGCCGCCCGCATCAGCTCCTTCGAGGTAGTTGTACGAGGCCAGGTGGGTTGGGTCAAAGGGAGGTCAGTCTGTTCTGCCTTCGACCTCGAAACAAACACTGGTGTCTGAGGGAAATAAATTGAAGGTACAATCAGTTACTACTATGAACAATGTCACTTACTTCGGCTGATAAGGACTTGGGCTCCTCCAAGTCGTCTTCAATTTCCTCCTCCTCACTGTCCTTCTCCGAGTCATTGTGACTAGGTCGAGAATCAGAGATCTCATCGACAGGTTCGTCGCTTGAAAATTCATTGTCGATTGGTTGGGAGGTGTGTGACCATAGTTCCTTTTCTTTTCCTGCAAAACCTGTGAGTTTGCTGAACCGACAACTAGACACCGTTATGCTAACTGACCTTTCTTTTGCGTGTGCTTGACAGCGCTCATGAGGCCTTCATCGATATCGACATCGATATCAGGAATCTGCATATGGTTCGGTGACTGTACCCGGCCCCCAAAGATTAGTCATCATGGAATCAGTCCGGATCAGTGCTCACCTCGGCGCTTCTTAGTATTTGCTTTTCCTTTAGATGTTTCACCCACGACTATGTACCCATGTAAGTGTACTGAGACCCTGGACTCGGTTCAGATACTTACCTCGACGCTTTTTAGCTGCAAGCCCTAGGATCTCATCTGGGGTATCGGGCCGACTACTAGTAACTTGTGCTACACCACCATCGTGGCGGCCATGCTTGGTTACAGACACGTGAGCTTTCCTTTGTGCAGTTGTTTTCTTCATCACAGTGGGCTTTTCTGGAGCTGGGCGCTGCCGCTGTGGTCTTGTAGTCATCCAGACTAGTACAATATCCAGTAAGTGCTCAAATCTCAACTGGTTCAACCACGTACTGACCTGCATTCTCCATAGCTCTTTTTTTTGCACCTCGTTCACCTGTTGCAACAACAGGTATTCACAGTTGTTTGTATCTGTTATAGTGGTAAGTACTTACTCCTGGCGGGCTGACTGGAACCTGTATTATTGCTGGGTGACATGCTAACTTGAAGGGTATGGTAAATGAGCGGGTGGGTTTTGAAGTTGTAAATAATGTAACGGGGGGATAGCTAATTGCATCCCACCACTGAGTACTGATATTTATGTATCTCGCAGGGACGGTGTCATCGCCACTGGGCAAAACCAACTCACATATGCACAGGTTCCAAAACGAGCATGGTTTTTGGGTGTCCCTTTTGGATTAGTCCAGGTCCATAGCCCAAGCGCTCTACTGTGCCGGGTTATGTAATATGGTTCGACACGTCTAGAAATGTTTTACAGCTGTAATTCATTGTAAAATAATCTAATAGAAAGTTTGCATGCAATTTATGTCCGAGTGTGAGTTTGTGACGGCCCTGTGCGAGCATCCATTTCACCTCAGTCGAACATCTGTTTGCCCTGAAAACGAAACACAGAGAAACGAACAAACGCACAAATGCACAGACACGAACAAAACGCACAAAAGCGAACAAAACACACAGAAAAAAAGGTTGCGGAACGGGTCCATAGTATGATAGTACAATAGACGTGATCATGTACAAACTAAGCTAAAAAGTAATTGCGATATCTACTGCACCCCAGCCATCATCATCATGTCGAGTTGAGCTAATACATTAGTTCGATCGAACCTGCGAGTCCCCAATGCTTAACATATGAGATTTCCGATAGTCGAATGCAATTCTCTGGACACCATCCATGTTGCCAATGTAGCGCACAATGTCCTCGAATGTCTCACTCCCTTCGTGTTGCGTGAATGGCAGGATGACTGGTGGATGGGGAATCTGCTCCCGCAGTGCTAATTTCACAGCTGCACCCATAGCACCAAAGGCGTAGTTGAGTTGTTGATGTCGATGTAACGCCGAGGTGGAGAGGAATTGTGAGATACCTGAGGTCGCTACACCATATGAATTGAACGGCAACATGAAAAATCAGGGGATTGTTGAGAACCCCGTCAAGTATGGTGACATGCCTGCTCTGAAAAAAGATCACAATTTGGTATTTAGAAAGAAAATTGAACGTACTGCATCGACCGTAAACCTATTCATGAAGGCCAACGGGTTACGAGTGTCGTTAATCAATGCGGTTATGACACGAACCCCGAAATTGGACTGGTTGGAGATTGGACTCTAGCGGGGGGTAGAAAGTGTAGCCCAAGGCGAGACAACTCCGTACCATGTCCAATAGCTTCCGAAAACAGCAGTTCCAGGCTGGCTGTCACCTGCTGACGTTCACTACTTGTCGTTCGGATTGTAACTACAATGAATCAGTATTCAACTCCGCAAATTATATGTAAACACGTACCATTCATACCTGGCATGGAAGACGACTCTGAAATCGCGAAGAGAAACAAGCGCCAGCCCTCTCACCATCAGTACCGGCCATTGCAGATGCCGTCAAGAAGAATCGTAAGATTCTTCTTTTTGCAGAATTGAGGATCTGTTTTTTGACAAGGGAATTGACGTTAATGAGGGCTGGTGTAGTTGGCTGCACAGCAGCAGGACCAGGAAAGATGGCAGGGGCCGCTGGTGCAACTCCGCTAGCAGTAATTCCTGGCTGCATAGCAACAAACTTGAGTGACAAAGGGACCAGTGTGCTTGGCCGTGAAGCAACAGGGGCAGCAATCGTGGATGGGATAGCGAGGGCAGCCATCGGAGCTGTTGGCTCAGGTGGCCGAAGGACCCTGGGTTCAGGTATGAAATATGGCGTGAAGGAGGGTCGAGGGCGATGATTTCTCTCAGATGCTGTGACGACCCTGCCAGCATCTGGGGAACTGGCGGGTTGTATAAAGAGTCGAGTTGGGCGGAAGTAAGGGATTACAGGGTAGACGTCATCACCCGGCATCAAGTGGGTTTCTGGTGCTAGATGACGGCGCGGGGGGGTGGAGCATCCATCTCGGGCGTGAGCAATTGTAGACTATTAGTTGTTGCATATGGATAGACACAACCATCACCAGCGTCAAGTGGTTCAAGTGTGCTAGACGATGGCGTGGGGGGTGGAGCATCCATCTCGGACGTTTAGCGATTTTAGACTACTTGTAGTCGTTGCATATTGTGGGTCGGTCATTACGGAGGAACCTTGAAAGTGGTCCCCCTCATCATCTGCTTCAAGTTGATCGTCAACAAGCGACTAGTGTATTACTGGCTTGGGTACTCACCGTTTAAATTCGGATTTCTATCTGCATAGTCTGACAACGAGAACCTGTCTTGAAGCTGGCCAGGGAAGTGTGGATATTCATTGTCATCCGGCGGCTGCATACTTTGCTGGAAGCAAATACTGGCAGTAGGAAACAAGGAGATGCGAGATCACGGCGAGAGAGCTGGCATAACGTGCCAGAAACATGTAGAATCCTGATACATAATGAAGACTCAATAGAATAGAGCCGAGCCAGTGGTCATATAATCGCGATCCGATACCTAGCGGTCCTAATCATGAGAAGAGTGATATGCTGCTATCAGTAGTGTAAGACTGAGCACGACTATTTCACGTACAATGACAGATGGGGAATGGAGGCAAAAACTGAATTGACTCACGATGAGCATATCGTTGGGCGATTAAACTGGGGCGTTCACGTTTGCAGCTGATTACAGATCGATTTGAAGCCTCGAGTCTATGGGCTTGGCGGGTAAGCGGCCTTACAGTTGCAATTGGGTAATACAAGTAGCCACAGATGCCGGAACATGCAAGAATCAATGACTTATATGGACTGTTTAAACGACTACATATATGGAGCGTTCAAACGACGACATATATGGCAAAAATCAACCGAGCCTTCCATACGCCAATTAATATGTATTGTATTGATGCCATCATAGATATCATGTTAATTCTTGTTTCAGGTGATAAGACGAGCAAGAGTGGAACAACACATGCATTTGACAGGTGTCTACAACATCGTAAGTGCATACAAAAATTCACAAATCGCCATGAAGTAATAGATACCTCCACATCAATAATGATCACGAGAAACAGATATTGAACATGAACAAGAGCGATTGGAGTGGTAAAAGGGAGCCTGCAACTTGCGATGAGTTGAATGGTAATACTTGAAAGGAGGATTTCCCATACCGCTGAAAGGGCGACTATCAGTCAGCTGACAACCTAGAGCCTGCGCCTTCACCTGAATCCTCAGAGTCATGATCCGAATCATCTGGGGGCAGGTCTGCGTAAGACCCATCACTCAAATCTGGATCTGAGTGTTCAGAGGGTTCCCTAGTGCCGATGCAGGAGAGTCCACCATTAGGGTGAAGAGGAAATGCCGCAGCAGGTTTCAAAAATGCATGTTTAACACGTGAATTGAGGAGGGTTGCAACCTGGTCAGTTTGGGCACTAGCGACGCGGAGGATCTCGCATTCGTCTTCAAAGACAGCTTGAAGATATTTTCTATCATCCTCAAGTTCCGCCTGCCCACGCTGTGAAAAAATCCTCCTAAAGCCGTGCAATTCCCCATCCGCCATCTTGAACCGTTGTTCGTTTTCACCATAGATGGCAATGAGGAATTCTTCATACTGTGCAGCCTCGTCAATTTCCCACGTCGCCAACACCATGCGTTGGCGCGCAACCTCGCGACTTGCGAGCTTGGCCTTGTATCCTTTGTACAAGGTTGCAGTCGTCATTTGAGAAAGGCCGCTCTCCAACTGTTCTTGAAACTTTCAGACCACATCAATGAGTTATCAATGTCTAGAAGTAAATATGGCATACCTTCTGTGTTGCTTCCAACGAGAATTCTGGTTGGAATTTGGACTTCATCATCCGAGCTGCATAACGAAGCTCCAATGGAGCTGGATTGGGGGGGTATGGAAAATGTTTCCTTGATGTCCGAGACTTTGATGTTTTGTCATGTGTAACAAATGTGCTCTCTTTCGCTTCAGAAGGCGTAGGTTTGCCATCCTCTGAAAGGCTTAGATATGAGGCATGTAAATCTGTATTCATCGTAATTGAAGAGCCTGATCGTTGGCTTGAATTACAGAGAGTCGGACTAGGGCAGTCAGGAGAAGACAGAACAGTGGGACTGCTCATTCGAGCAGGAGATAAAGGCGGACTATTTGATTTAACAGGAGACGAGGCTGGTGAGCTGTCCATCTTATTGTGCGAATCTTACCCTGGAACTTTGGCAATGTATTATTGATATCCGGTATCGGAGCCTGAAAAATGACATAGAGGAGATAGCATCTAGTATTAGTGAACATTCCCTCGTACCATTATGGTCCAATGCACAGGATGTTATACGACTTTTTCGGCCACTGGTTTAAGTCAACACTTAGCTAAAACCAAGAATCGATGCTGCATGGCTGTGCTCGCTGCATCACGCTCAAATGTCCACTCTCCAATACCAACTCCTTCAGATGATCTTGCGGACTCAGAAATCGAAGCTGATGATCAAGCACCTGCGAATGGAGGAGACTTTTTTGGTACTTACGAGGAAGATGAAATCCAATGGCCCGGTGACATGGAATGGTATGCTAACAGCAGTGAGAATAGTGACAGCTCGGACTCCGAGGATGATGTCGTACCTGGCCTCGATGATGCCGAATGGGAACCCCTCGTAACTGGAAGGGATTTAGAGGACCAACTCGGAACTGCCGAAGAAGACAGCACAGAGATGAATAGCCACAATCGTGATTTGCGTCAGCAGATTGAGCAACGCGTGCTTCAGGAAGATGCAATCACTATTGTGCAATACCCTGATGCTCGAGCAGGGCACCCCATTCCGCAAGCTGACATATGCAATGCAAACGCTGCATACGCTACTGTTATCAATGACACTGCAAATCCATATGCCCCCTTCGCCTCTCGAGTGGATTGGGAAATTGCACGATGGGCTAAATTACGTGGCCCAACTTCAACCGCATTTTCGGACTTGCTTGGTATCAGTGAAGTCAGTGAATGGTATTAATATCACCTTCGAGCTGTGGGTAATGTGTCTATCTTTGTTGACAGGTCCATGAAAAGCTTGGTCTTTCTTACAAGAACTCAAGGGAATTAAATAAGATCATCGACAAGCAGCTTCCTGGTCGCCCAAAGTTCAGGCGTGAACAAATTGTCGTCGCAGGCGAGGCTTTCGACGTTTTTTATAGGGACGTTATCGAATGTGTTAAGGCTCTGTATGGTGACCCAGATTTTGCCGATTTTCTAATCTTTGCACCGGAACGCCACTATGCAGATGAGGAACAAACTGTCCGATTATTCCATGATATGCATACTGGTAAATGGTGGTGGGATACTCAGGTAAGTTCGCATTTTGGGGACTTCTGCTCATCGAAAATAACTGACATTAAATAGAAAAAGCTTGATCAGCGCAAACCGGGTGCTACCATCATTCCAATTATTATTTCGAGTGACAAGACTCAAGTAACAATGTTCCGAAATAAAACGGCTTACCCAGTCTACCTTACTATTGGCAACATTCCAAAGGAAATCCGCCGAAAGCCATCTCGCCGTGCCCATATTCTTCTCGCTTATCTTCCTACTACCCGTCTCGAGCACATCACCAACCAGGCTTCACGACGCCGAACCATTGCAAATCTGTATCATGCCTGCATGGGCCGTGTCTTAGCACCACTGGAGGAAGCTGGCTTAGATGGTATTGTCATGAAGAGTGGCAATGGTATCCTGCGTCGCAGTCATCCCTTATTTGCTTGCTTCGTTGGTGACTATCCTGAGCAAGTCTTGGTTACAGGAGTCAAAACCACGGAATGTCCCAAATGTGACATACCACCAGCCGAACTCGGAAGCAATGCCGCACCTTTCGAGATGCGCAACCTTGACGCTGTCCTCAATGCATTGGCTGCGATTGATAACGGAGATCTCGCATTTGTACATGCATGCCGCGAAGCCGGAATCAAGCCCATTATACATCCGTTCTGGGAGCCCCTACCCTATACCAACATCTTCCAAGCCGTTACACCAGATGTGCTTCACCAATTATACCAGGGTCTTATCAAGCATCTCCTTGGTTGGCTGGCCGAGGCATTCGGAGCAGCTGAGATTGATGGAAGATGTCGAAGGCTCCCCCCAAATCACCATATCCGTCTATTTATGAAAGGTATCACTAGCCTCTCACAAATCAGTGGTACGGAGCATAGTCAGATATGCCGTTTTCTACTTGGGATCATCATCGACATCCGACTCCCCAACCGTCTTGCCCCAAGCCGTCTCATACGTGCCGTCAGAGGTCTACTTGACTTCCTGTACTTGGCGCAGTATCCTTGCCACAGCTCCGAAACATTGACTCTCCTCACAGAAGCTCTCGATCTTTTTCACAACAACAAGCAGATCTTCGTCGACCTTGGAATACGAAACAATTTTAATCTTCCAAAGCTCCATGCAGGCCGCCACTATATGTCGATGATCCAGACTTTTGGCACAACTGACAATTACAATACAGAATATACTGAGCGCCTCCACATCGACTTGGCCAAAGATGCATATCGTGCAACAAACCACAAAGATGAGTTTGTTCAAATGACTCAGTGGCTTGAACGCAAAGAGAAGATCGCTCGACATGAGAGACATGTCATGTGGCGCCTCCACGGCAATCCCATTCGACACCAACCTCGTCCAGCAAACCTGTCTTTCGACCGGGTTCAAACATTAACGAAGCATCCTAGCATGAAAGCTGTGCCAATTCAGAAGTTAATCACGGAGTATGGGGCCACGTACTTCCGTGAGGCGCTTGCAAGATATGTTGCACAGCTGCTCATCCACACGAAGCCACCACTCGTCGCCGCCTCGAGGACCTTGCTGCTGCTATCCACCTTCCATTCCGCACACTTCCTGTGTATCATATAATCAAATGGCGATCTGATGGTGCACAGGGACATGGTGACCCATGTGTCACAGTGGACAGCGCGCATGTCAAACCTCGCCGTGTGACCACCAGTCAAAAAGGCGCTGATGTCCCAGCACGATTTGATACTGTGCTTATTAATGATGGGACTGGCCGTTCTGCAGGTATTGAAGGTCAGTTTTTGATTCCCGAGGATGCTAGGCAGTCAAATGATGAATTTTCAACAGGCTACCGTGTGGGTCAGATTCGCGTAATATTCTCAATCCCGCAGAGTGCTGTTACAATGATGTTCCTACCGCAATCCAGCCTCCCAAACATCTCGCCTATGTAGAGTGGTTCACTCGGTTTCTCCTACAGCTGATTCGAACCATGGAATGTTCAAAATCAGCCGCTTCGTGCAATCGGGTGAGAGAGTTGCGAGCATCATACCCGTCACAAACATCCACCGA